TTTTTTTTTTTTTTTTTTTTTTTTTTTTTTTTGTCTTTTGTCTTTTTCCGTGTCCAGCAACGGATCGCAACCCTCAGTGTTGCCCCCGTACCGGACCGGGGACCGGCAACGGGATTGCAACCCTCAGCGTTGCTCCCGCGCCTCGCTCAGCCAGTGAGCGGGAACCGGTCTGTATGTGGGATCCGAACCCTCGGGCGGGAGCGCCGCCGCACTTCCCAAGCGGCGCACTATCCAGTGCGCCACCGGGCCGGCCCCAAGTCCTTATTCTGTATCAGGCACTGGGATAAGTGCTTAACATGCAACATCTCATTTAATCCTCGTAACCCCATTTTTCAAATGAGGAAACAGAGGCGGAGAGATTAAGCAGTTTACTTAGAAGTCATACAGCCCACAGGAGAGCTAATCATTATTGTCAGCTGGACCCCAAATCTAGATCCTAGGCTGAGGATTCTGGGTTGCAAGACTCCCCAAGTCCCACTTCATTGTCATGAGTCTTCCCAAAATGCCTCTTTTTACCCACACTTTTTGATATCCCTGATATATTTTGGCCTGGCCTCAGATCTGACATGTCCTGTAATACCCTGGATCACATTTCCTATTCAATCCTGTGGTGACAGCACACTTGAAAATACCCCCTTTGGAGTTGGAATTTCTCCATCATTTTAAGAGTTTTGGGTGAGGGAAGAGTAAAATTGTGATTGTGGGAGAAAAAGCTGTGTGGTCAGATCAGATTATGTGGTTAGTAACTGAAAAATGAATTGAGAATTAAAATTGTTGGCAAAAAGCATTCAGTGGATTTTGATGTTTTTCCAGTATAAAGAGATTAATTTAGTAAGTCATAGTGGAATTTCTACATATTTGTATTATCGGAGGTAAATGATTTAAAAATACAGAGTTGTCAACCATTAATGTGCATACAAATCACTTTGGGATTTGTTACAGCCACATTGATTCTGTAGGTCTGGGGAGTTTCAACACTGCCCAACTGATACCATTGCTCATGATCTGTGGACCACACTTTGAGTAGCCAAGGGCTAGACCCAGCCAAGAGTGGAGGTGTGAAATGATGGTCTTTTTTCCTGTAGCAGCTGCCAGGGAGCCAGAGGAGCCCCTTGCATTGCTGGGGGTTGAGATTATGGGGGATTTTTACCAGCCACATCTGCTATGGTAGCAGGAAAAAGAAAAGTAAGGATTTTTGAGAAAATGCTAACTAGAGGTCACTGTTGGCCTTACCAAAGACCTAGGAATTGAATAGGATGCTTTAACATCTTAAACTACAGGAATGCTAAGGATCAGAGAGCACATTTGAGGAAATAATGGAAGAAGTGATAGAAAATCAGAATGTAGTGATTTGCCACAGGCTTTCAGAAAGGGAAAACGTTTTCTTTCCCTTTTTTTAAAAAAGATTTATTTTTAGAAGCAGTATCTTTTTCCAAGAAATCCTTCTCACAACTTTTCTTTTTTTTTTAAATAAAATTATTCCAAAGCTTGATCCTTTTAAGAAAAGTAGACAATTTTTGAAGTTTTCAAGATGACCTATAGATAATCTATAGAACTATTGAATCCGTCTCTGTGAGGCTTCCTGGAAGCTCTTCTGGCTGCTCTGCTCAGCCTTTTGTCTCACACCAAGAATTCACAAATACACTGAGAGAGAAGGCTCGGCCAGGAGAGTTGGATTCACCTCAGTGAGTCTCTCTTGGTCCTGGTGTCTGGCCTTACAAGTCCAGTGTGGTTTGGTAGCTCTTTATACCTTCAAAGAGATTTAAAAAAAAAATTTTTTTTTTTAATTTAGTGTTTCTTGTTTATCTACATTTTTTGTTTTAGATAGGTCAATTATTTCTTAAAAGAATTACAATAAGTAAGAAGTCTTTCATATTTACCTCCACTTTAACCATTTCAAGACATAGTCATGTGGAACCAAGTGGCTGTGTGATGTTCTCATATTCCTTCTGCCATAGAACTTCTTTTCAACATTTTTGTATTGCAGTTCTACTGTTAATAAATTCTATCAGTTTGTTTGCCTATAAATGTCTGTTTCTTCGTTTTTTTTTTTTTTGGTTGCCTTCAAATTTTTTTTTTTAATTTTGTTTTTTTTTTTTTTTTTTTTAGGAATTTTTTTTTTTTTTTTTTTTTTTTTTTTTTCTTTCCTTTTTTGTCTTTTTTTCGTGACCGGTAATGGGATTGCAACCGGCATCGGGATCGCAACCCTCAGTGTTGCGCCCGCACCATGCTCAGCCAGTGAGCGGGAACCGGTCTGCACATGGGATCCGAACCCTCAGCGGGAGCGCCACCACACTCCCAAGTGGCGCACTCTCCAGTGTGCCACCGGGCCGGCCCTAGGAATATTGTTCTAATATCGTCTAAACCACCCCATCATCCAGAAGTCACAGCAAAAGTGTTTAGTTGTTTTAAGCACCCCCATCAACTAAGTGGTTTCTGTGTTTTATGTTTACCAGGCATTCCAGGAATAGGAACTACAAAGCTGAATTTGCATCATGCCGATTGGAGGCTGTACCATTGGAGTTTGGGGACTATCACCCACTGAAACCTATAACTGTAAGTTTTGTCAAAGATCTCTCTAAATGATATTCTTATCCCTGAGTCTTTTCTGTTTTGCCAGTGGTAGCTACTTTTGCATATTTAAATCAATCATTTCTTCTCTGCCCCTTTTTTTTGTGATGTTGACCTTGCCTGCCACCATTTTTATTCCCCTTTCTTCTTTTAGTGAGATTGTCATGGGAATGGGATGACCTTGTTCCTGATTTGGATGTGTCAACAAAATATATCTTGCTTCATGAGTTTCCTATTTGAAATATAAAGAATCACTCTAATTACCAATGTACGGTGCTGTCCTGAATAGCATTTTAGTTCACCTTTGTGTTTATTTAAAGAACAATGAAAGGAGACAAGAGACATAGATGGCCCCTCTCGGCTGAGTTAGTACTCTTTTTTTAGCAAGTAATAGAAACTACTAGGAGATGTGATCGACATCTGGACACAGAGGGCATAAAGTTCCTTAATGGCAGAGGACCTGAGAACGCATGGAGATGATTACATAATACAGAAGATCACAAGACTGAGGTTTGGTCTGCTGGGGCCCCTCAGACCCCCATGTTCTTGAGTAGCGGTGGCTGACCCCACCAGTGAGTTGGTTCTGTTTTCAGGAACTCATTCCCCATGTGGTGACAGACTAGCCGCAGCAGTTCCAAGCTTATCCTGCTAGCTTAGCAACATCAACAGCAGGGCGATTCTCTTCTGGAGCAAGTTTCATTGGCCTGGTTGTGTTACGTGTCATTTCCTGAACTGACCTTGGTGACCTAGGGTATACAATATGCTGATTGATTGGGTTAGGTCTAATGCCTACCCTGGGAACTGGGATCAGAGTCTACCCCACCAGTCATGCAGGAACCGAGAGTGGAGGAGGGCTGCTTTCCCAAAGACAGTTTGGAGTGTTGAGCCTGGTAGGTGGAGGAATGGGTGCCACGCAGACAAAACCAACTAATGTGCACCAATGGGAGGTGCTTCTCTCCCTGCTGTACTAGAGTACAACTCAACTCAGATGCCAATTGCCTGGAGTCAGTGTCAGACTCCACAGGTTCAAGGGCAAGGTCCTCGATAAGACTCCCATCACTGTAGATTCCAGCTGCAAATTTGGGGCCACCCACACTTCTGACCAATTGGCTACAAATCCCGAGATTTCCCATGACACCCTCTCAGGTTTGATAATTTACTGGAATGACTCACAGAACTCAGAAGAGTGCTGTACTTATGACTGCAATTTTATTATAAAGTGTACAGTGCAGGACCAGGCAAATGAAGAGATGCACAGGCGAGGTTGGGAGGAAACGCAGCGCTTTCAGAATCACCCACGTCACCTGGGAAGCTCCACTGGGGAGCTTACACAGGTGTGACTGACTGATTCTTTGCCATGTTATTGAACTTGATTTCTGCCCCCCGGAAGACAGGCTGATATCACCTGGCTCAAAACCTCAACCTTCTAATCACATGGTTGGTCTTTCTGGTGACCAGCCCCTGTGCTGAGTATCTTTTTGGCATAAACTCAGGTGTGATCTAAGGGGCTCATGAATAACAAAGACACTCTAATTACTCATGAACTTCTAAGGATTTAGAGTCTTCTTTCTGGGAACCAGGGACAAAGGCCAGTCTATTTCTTTAATTATACAACAGTCTCTCCCCTTTATTCCTTACATCCTATCCTTTTCCCTTTCTCTTTGAAGGTTAGTTTTCTCTCCTTCCCTGTGGATACATGTCCATAGTGGCCATCAGCCCCTGGCCCCTGAGTTGTCATAGCTTCTTCATTTAAAAAACAGTGGGACCTAACTATCCCTTTTAGATGTCAATCCTAAATTTTCTGCAGAGACCGACTCTGCTTGGGTCCACTCCCCTGAAGGTTGTATCTGGTGCAGTCGTCTGCAGTCGGGGAGGGATAGGAACCAGTGGAACAGAAACATGGCATCAGGCCCCACCATCCCCACCACCCTCCATACGTACACCAAGAGGTGTTGGGAGTTCTACAGAAAGGAAAGAGTTGGGTATTCAGTCCTTCTCACTGACTGTGCAAGCCATCCAGACTGTCTTCAGCATGCAAATTTGACCTTCACCTAGGTCATTGCTACCAGGTGAGTCACCTGATGATCCTGTTAAAATGCAAATTCTGATGCAGTAAGTAGGCTTGGGGTGGAGCCTGAGGTTTTCTATCTTCTGTGAGCTCCCTGATGATGTGGATGCTGCTTGTCCAGGGACCACACATTGAGTATTAGGACCTACAGGAATGCAGTCATATCACTGGAAAGGAAGACTCTTCTGTATTCTCAACACTTCTGTCACCAAATGTGTGACATTTTCCCTCACAATAAACAATTCACCAACTCCCCTGCCTCCAATCAGGTATCCTTCAATTAGTTTCTGATAGTGTTAGAGATAGGAAAAACCAAAGCATTGTTCCTCTCTACTCACAGCCAACACAGAACAGTTCTGTGACCCCAGATGTGTGGGGTCTTTTCCCTATACACCAAGCAAGCACTTCTCCAGCAGACACCAGCTGGATGTCTTCCAGTTCAGTTCAATCCTGACAGTTTCTATCTGGAGATAGTGTCAGATTCCACAGGTTGAGAGCCCAGTCCCACAAGACCATCCCCACTTCAGATGCTAATCGCAGGTCCAGGTTGTCACCTATGGTTCAGACCAACTGGCTATAAATTGGGGTTCTCACGACCCCCTCCTCAGGTTTGATCAATTTGCTAGAGTGGCTCACAGAGCTTGGGAACACCTTCCTTTCATTTACTGGTTTTTTATAAAGTATATTACAAAGAATATGCATGGCTCCGCACCCTGTCCTTTTAGGTTTTTTTGAAGGTTACATTATGTTACACTTTTCTCTGTGTAACTGAGACAAAAAAAAGAAAGAATCACTCAAAGTACCAAGAATGAGGTCTGGAGGGACTGCAGCCCATCAGGGGAGCAGCAGCCCTGATTCAAAATCAGCCTTTCTTTTTATTGACAAGACAAGGAAGTTTCATAAGAAAAATCAGTTGATTCAATCCTCAAAGAAGGACATAAAAACAGCCAGTGTTACAGAACTAAATTATGGGTAAGTATAGCTTTAAACAACTGGAACTAGTAATGGCAGTAAAATTAACAATGTGACGTTCCAGAATGCAATTTGTAAAAGGCTAAGTCGATACACCAAACAAACAGCTTGTCCTTAGCAAACATTTTCTTTTCCACATATTTCCCTACAGTGATTTCCTTAGCATATTTAAACAGCATTCAAGCAGTTTCCTTAGCATATCTTAAGAACAATCAGTAGGTTAGATAGTCAACAGTCCTTCGAGCTGGAATCAAACCAGCGACCTAAAATAGTCAAAGTACACAATCCCATCCCTAAACAGTGATTAGAATTGATTAGATATGGGCCGGCCCGTGGCTCACTCGGTAGAGTGCGGTGCTGATAACACCAAGGCCACGGGTTTGGAGCCCATATGGGGATGGCCGGTTCGCTCACTGGCTGAGCGTGGTGCTGACAACACCCAGTCAAGGGTTAAGATCCCCTTACCGGTCATCTTTTAAAAAAAAAAAAAAAAAAAAGAATTGATTAGATGGCTTTTGCCAAACTTATCTGTGGATTATTGTCCCCTTCTCGAGGGCTATAGCGCCATGCATGCATTTACCTAAAAATCCTATTCTAAGATCAAAGGAGAATCAAGATTTCTAACCCCTCAACACCGTTACATAGGCACAATTAGGTCATTGGCCATTGGTGACTGAATTCAAGACTTTGGCTCCACTCCCCTCCCTGAAGGTTGAAGGGTGTGGCCGAACGTCCCTACCTTCTAATTATACTTTGGTCTTTCTCCCCCATCCTGATACTGTCTAGGGTCACGGGTTATCTCATTAGCATAGAAAAGGCACTGTCACTCCAGAGATTGAAAGTTTTAGGAGCTGTATATCAGGAACAGACAAGACCAAATACAATCATGAGTCACTTACAGGGATACATTCCGAGAAATGTGAGGTTAGGTGATTGTGTTGTTGTGTGAACATCATAGACTGCACTTACACAAACCTAGTTGTATAACCTACTACTAAGCTATGTGGTATAGCCTATGGCTTCTAGGCTACACACCTGTACAGCATGTTTCTGTACTGAATACTGTAAGCAGTTGTAACACAGTGGTATTTGTATATCTAAACATAGGAAAGATACAGTAAAAATATGGTACTAAAATTTTAGGGGACCACCATCGTATTTATGACTAACTGAAACTTCATCATTGACTGAAACTTTATGCAACATGTGACTATGTATTTCACAATATCACAGATACTAACTACCTGGAGTTAGTGCAGATCCCACAGGTTAAGGGCTCAGTCACACAAGACTGCTCCCACTTCAGATGCCAATCACAAGTAGTGGGTCCCCAGGTTACCCACAACTTCCGTCCAACTTGGCTACAAATTGGGGCTTTCTCAGTTCAGCATTTGCTATAACACCTCACAGAACTCAGGGAAACGTTTACTTCTGTTTACCAGTTTCTTATAAGGGATGTTACCAAGGATACAGATGAGCAACCAGATGAAGAGGTGCATAGAGTGAGGTCTGGGGGTGGGGCACAGAGCTTCCATGTCTTCTCCAGGTGTGCCAGCACCTTGATGTGTACTTGTTCACCAACCCAGAAGCTCACCCACCGTGTCTTTTAGGGATTTTTAAGGAGTCTTCCTCACATAGGCATGGTCGATTAACTCACTCTCCAGCCCCTCTCGCTTTTCTGGAGGGTGGGCAGTGAGGTCAAATGTTCCCAGCTTCTAATCATGGCTGGTCTTTTTGGTGACCAGCCCCCATTCTGAAGCTATCCTGGGGCCCATCCGGAGTTGCCTCATCAGAACAGAAGGAACCAGGGTCAAAGACCAAATATTAGAACAAAAGATGCTCTTAGCAAGCATTTCCATTCAGGAAATCACAAGGGTTTTAGGAGTTCTGTGTCAAATATGTATTTCTTATTATGTTATAATCACCTAAATCATAATGGCCCCATTCCTTCCTTCTGTTGAAAGATAGGCACATTAAAATTTTGACAAGTTTATTTGAGCTTTCAGCAATTTGTGAGTTGGGCAGCATCAGACCACAAGCAGTTCAGGGATCCAACAAAGGGCTATGAGGGGAAAACTTATAAGGTGTCCTCAGAAGCAAGACGAAGAAAATATTTGATTGGTTAAAGTGGAAATTCCCTACTTAGAGGTTAGCTGGTGGTTTCGGATTCATTGAGCTTTCGTTTAACGCTTTATCTTGAGTTGGGTTTTGGTTTGCTTACATGGGAACCCAAGGTACTGGAGTCATCTTGGTCCAATGGCCTCTCAGTTAATTTTTTTTTAACACTTCCTAACCCCATTTCCTACCTTCCCTTTCTTGACAGCTGTGATTCCGAGGCATGCCAATTTCTCACAAAAAATAAGCATCCTGGCAGATTGATAAATCTCTGCTACAAATGAACATCCATTCAGCTATCAGAATGACAGGGAAGAACCCATGTGAGTGTGTTTCATTGGGGAAAGTCATAGGACACCTGCATTTAACCTCCACAAATTTTCTCCGCAGGTCACAGAGACAAAGACAAAGAGGGTGAGCCGGAAGGGAAGCACTTCTTCCACATCCTCCTCCTCCTCCAGCTCCATGGTGGACCCACTGAGCAGTGTCCTCGATGGGACTGACCCCCTGTCCATGTTCGCTGCCACCGCAGACCCTGCAACCATGGCAGCTTCCTTGGTAACATGTCCCAGCTGCATTGTCCAGCTGGGGGGTCGGTTTTGCAGGTGCAGGGGTGGGTGCTTTTCTGCTCCTTGTTGTTTGTAAGTTGCACAGGGATTGCAGGGGTGCATTCTGGTGGTAGCAATTCAAATCATCCAGTCGTCCCCAAGGTACCACTTAAAGAGGAGGACATTGCCAGTAAGAGGTGGGTGTAGATATGGGAAGTCTTTTTCTTTCTTTGAAAACATCTTAAAATTTATTCTTTATTTCACTTTCATTCTTTTTGTAATTCTTTTTTACAAAATAACATGAATAATTTGCTATTTTTTTTTTTCTGAATGGTTGGCCAGTACAGCAATCTGAACCCTTGACCATGGTGTTATCAGCACTGGGCTCTAACAAAGTGTATTAGTCCGTTTCTGTTGCTTATAACAAAATACACGGAACTGGGTAATTTTTAAAGAAAATGAAATTTATTTCTTACAGTTTCTGAGGCTGGGAAATCCAAAGTCCAGGGAACACATCTGGTGAGAGCCTTGGTGGTGGTGACAGTGATGGCAGAGTATCACATTGTGAAATGGTGGAGCAGAGAGACTGACAGACTCTTGTTTCTCTTCTTTTAAACCCTTCAGAACCATGCCCCTGACCACCATTTTTAATCTATTCACTGTGGCACAGTCCTACAATCTGATCACCTCTTCAAGGTCCTACCTTTCAGTTACCATGATAGGATTTCCCACCCTCTTCATAGTCACAGTGGGTGCCATGTTTCTAAGACATAAAATTTGGGGGAAACAATTCAAGCTTCATTGAGTTTTGGGGGGACATAATTCAATCCACTATATCAAGTGAGCTAGCCTAATTCTCTAATTTTTGATGTAAGAGTCAAACACTACAGCTGAAGTCCTTGTATTAGTCCGTTTTGTGTTGCTTGTAACAAAATATGTGGAACTGAGTAATTTGTAAGAAAACAAAATTTATTGCTTACAGTTTCTGAGGCTGGGAAGTCCAAAGTCCATCTGGTGGTGGCAGCAGTGACCCAGGGGTCTCCCATTGCAAGATGGTGGAAGCAGAGAGAGCAGAAAGAGAGACAGACAGACTCTCCCCTTTCTTTAAAGCCCTCAGAACCATGCCCCTGACCACCATTTTTAATCCATTCACTATTGTATAATCTTACAATCCAATCACCTCTTCAAGGCTCCACCTTTCAATTATCATAATAGGATTTCTCACCCTCTTAACATTCACAGTGGGGGCTAAGTTTCTAATACATAAAACTTGGGGGACAGGATTCAAGCTTCAGGGAGTTTTGGGGGAACATAATTCAATACATTACAGTCCTATAGACCAATCCCCCTCGTTTCATTCTGCACCCTGGAAGTTATGGTGTTATCAATGTAATGAATATTCTTCTATAGCCTTTTCTTTGTATTTTCATAAATAATTATAACAGCAGTTTCTGAGCATTCCCATACATACTCGTATATAAATAATAACAGTAATAATAATTGTGTCAGCTTACAGCACAGCAGGCATTTTCTAAGTGCATTTCGTGTTTAGTTCCAGACTGCCCTGTGAGAGGCATTGTATAGAGGCTGTCGTGGAGGGGTGGAAATGTTAAGTCACATCCAGGCTGGGGTTCAAACCTGGCCAGTCTGATTCAGAATCCATTCTTTCGGCTCTCATCCTGTGCTGCATTCCATACATTTATTTACCATTTTTACATAAATTGAACTGTTTCTCTGCAACTTTTTTTTTTGTCTTTATAATAAGTCTTGGAGAACTTCCTTATTAGTACGTTTAGAACAACCTTGTTATTTTGAGCAGTTGCTTGGTAGTCTCAGCACCTGCTCTAACAAAGTGAGCTAAGTGGCTGGCCCTCTTTTCTAAAGAATAAGCGTGACATGTTTTAATTTGCCTTTCCTCTACTAATGTACACATAGATGATTTCTGGTTTTTGCTGGTATAAACAGTGGTGTACCATGTTCCTTGAACACACACACATCTTGGTGCGTGCGTGCAAGGATCTCTGCAGGATAGATTCCTAGAAGTTTGTTACTGGGTTAAGGCAATACGTATTTAAGGTTTTGATGGCACCAAATTGTTCTCCAAAAGGGCTTTACCAGTCTCTGTTCCCACCACACATTTTCCTGTGTCCCTGCCAACCTGGATATTATCAATCACTTTAACTCTCTGCCTTTCTGGTAGTTGAAAATGGTCTCATTCAGTATGCCTTTCCTTGATTCTTAATGAGTTCGAGCATTTTTTGATATGTGTATTGGCCATTTGTGATGAAATGACCTGAAATTTTTTTAATCATAGTAAACCTTTATTTATATATTTTTTTCTGGCAGCTGGCTGATATGGGGAACTTAGCCCTTGACCTTGGCATTGTTACAAAGCTGAGCTCTAACCAGTTGAGCTAACAGCCAGCCCCCATAGTAAACCTTTAGATAGATCTATTTTATTTCACAGTGAGGGACTATTTGCCTTCTGCTTATACTTTTTTTTTTTTGAAGATTAAATGATATTGCTGCTGAAGAGATTTTCTTGCCTTTCCTTAGGATAGCTCCAGAAAGAAACGTGATAGAGATGATAACTCCTTTGTGGGATCGGATTTTGAGCCATGGGCCAACAAACGGGGTGAAATCCTTGCCCGGTACACGACTACAGAAAAGCTCTCTATTGTGAGTACCAGGAGACTTTCTCACAGGCTCTCTATAAGTTTCTCTATGTCAATGGTAGATGAGAGAAAATGTGCTGATTGGGTTTAAAAAAAAAAGAGGTATTAAGAATTAGAGATGTGGCACAGTTCGGAGGAAGCATTGAAACAACAGAGTCTTATCTTTGGGGGAGATTTGAGCTATGAAGCGAGGAGAGCCCCATGCTGGAGAAGGACAGTGTTGCCCAGTAAGTCCTATATAGCTGGGTTTTCTCCCAGAGCTGAAGGTTCACTATTTCTTTGGGTCGCCACTAGGTGAAGTCATTGGCTTATGCCTGAGGACAGGAATGAAGTGAGAGGTTTACCCTCTACTTGGCAAGTTTCTCCCATAAGGAAAGGTTTAGGAGAGCTGAGACCAACCAAGGGAAAGCAGGTTATTTAGGATTAGGTTCAGTTGCTTATAACTAGAGTCCTCCCTAATGACATAAACAAGAGTGATGCATCTCTCTCCTTATACCAGGAAGAAGTCTGAAGGTGGGTAGTGCAGGGCTGGTACAGCAGCTCCAAGGCCATCAGGGTGTCGGCTCTTTCTGTCTTGCTGCTCTGCAACGTTTAGTGTCGTCTCATGTCCAAGTTGGTGGACAGAAGGAAGAAAGGGAAAGAAAGACGTATCCCCTCCCATTTAAGGAGGCTTTCTGGAATCCACCTCAACACTTCCAGTTGCATTTGTCTTGAAAGTAGTCGGAGGCTGCATGTAGATGCAGGGGAAGTTGTGAAATGTAACAGTGCCCATGTAAAAATCGGGGCTGTGACTAGGCAGGAGGGGATGACCTGAGTGGGCCACTAAGGCTTTGCCACACACCTCTCCTCTCCCTCTTTATCCCAGGGCCTGTACTCGTTAAGCAGAATGAGAGACCAAATTGGTGGACTATTTAAATCTTTTCTTATTGTTTTCTGAATGCATAGACTTAATTTAGAGCAGTGATTCTCAGCCAGGAGTAATTTTATCCCTCAGGAGTCATTTGGCAGTGTCTGGAGACATTTTTGGTTGTCACAACTCTGGTGGTGCTACTGGCAACTAGTGGGTGGAGGCTGGAGATGCTGTTCAGCACCCTACAGTGCACAGAACCGTCCCCCACGACAGTGAGTTACCTGGCCCCAAATGGCAGTAGTGTGGAGGGTGAGAAACCCTGATTTAGGATAAGTTAAAAAATAGTTCTATTGTATGACTCCGCTGTCATATCAAGAATTTTAGTATTTGTTGGCTCACTTTCAGAGCCTTAGATTGAGTAGAAATTTGAATCTCCAGTGGTTTTTAGTGACCCATATTTTCCTTCTTTGAATATATATTTGTCTTTCATTTGGATAAGTAGATGTCTTTGTTGGAAAATGATGGCCATATTGCCTTAGATTTTAGAAATATTAATGAATTTTATATCTTTGCAGAATCTGTTTATGGGATCTGAGAAAGGTAAGATGAATTTTTTATTGTTGTTTTGATGAGAAAATTCTGCCATTACCTTTAATTTAATCTTACAAAGGAAAAAGAAAGCTTGTGTTTTGCAATCCTGATGTTTAATTCAGTTGAAGCTGTTATTTTTTAGATTTGTATAGTCATAGGCTGAAAATACATATTTTTGTTTTCTCTTTATTGTGTTTTTGTTTTGGCAGCTGGCCAGTACGGGGATACTAACCCTTAACCTTGGTGTTAAAACACTGTGCTGTAACCAACTGAGCTAACTGGCCAGCTCCTTAAAATACATATTTAGAGGATGAAGTAAAAAAAGACCAAAGAAGAGGGCTGGCCAGTTAGCTCAGTTGTATAGAGCACAGCCTTTGTAACATGGAGATCAAGGGTTCAGATCCCCATACCACGCAGCTGCAAAAAAAAAGGCCAAAGAGGGTACTAGGAGTAAAACAAAAGCTCGCTGTTTGACTTTAGAGTTACAAAGGTGTAGTCTCCCCCTCGTAGTGCTTCCTCCTCTTGCTGGGGAATTGCTTTAGAGGTCCTTTCCTTTGCCTTAAGTTTTTGTCATTGTGAAAATGCAGATATGCTGGGGAGGGGGTCAACATACTGTGTCATACCCACCACTGTTCCTTGAACACAGCAGTTTTCAATTTCCTCTGCCAGGACACACAGTCTGAAGCTCTGGACCTGGGTGTCTCCATCTGCTGTGCAGCAGGATTACCCGAGGAACTTTGATGTAAATACAGACCACTGGCCCCGACTTGTTGCATTAATTTTATAGGATGGGACCCTGGAATTCCTTTTTTTGAAGCTCCCAGGTGATTCTGGAGCAACTGAACTAGGTCACATACTGCTGGGGTGCAGATCGCTGGCAGGGCAGCTGCAGCTCTCCCCTATTCCCGGCAGGTTGAGACTGTATATTAGAAATCAAGAGGGTGGGAGCATCTTTGTCATGGTTATAACTTTGACCCCAGGCCATAAAAGGTAAATCATACCATCGCATATCCACATATCACTTTGGAAGGACCAAGTAGATTGACAATACCAAGTGCTGGTGAGAATGTAGAGCAGTAGGAACTCTCATACGATGCTGGTGGGAATGTAAAATGACACAACCACTTTGTGGGACACTTTTGCCTTGTTTATTAAATATGAAGATGAGTGCTGTGGTCTGAATGTTTGTGTCCCCCCCAAATTCATATGTTGAAATCGTAACCCCCAAAGTGATGATATTGGGAGATGGGCCCTTTTGGGAAGTTGATTAGGTCATGAGGGTGGAGTCCTCATGAATGGGATTAGTGCCCTTATAAAAGATGCCCAAGGGAGCTCATTCGCCCCTTCGAACCATGTGAGGACACAGCAAGAAGGTACGATCTGTGAACCAGAAAACAAGCCCTCACCAGACACTGAATCTGCCAGCACCTTGATCTTGGCCTCCAGAACTGTGAGAAATGAATTTCTGTTGTTTATATGCTACCCAGTTTATGGTATTTTGTTATAATAGCCAGGACAGATTTTAGACAATGAACCAACCCTTTAATCCAGCAGTTCCGCTGTTAGGGTATCCCCTAGATCACGGGTTGGTAAACTATGTCCTGCAGGCCAAGTCTGGCCCACTGTCTATTTTTATAAATAAAGTTTTATTAGAACACTGTCTTACCAATTTGTTTACATATATCTATGCCTGCTTCTGTGCTATAATAGCAGAGGTAAGTAGTTGCAGTAGAGATTGCGTGACTCACAAAGCCTAAAATATTTGTGTCAGGTCCTTTACAGAAAGAAAGAGTTTTCCAACCCTGCCTTAGATTATAGATATATCTTAAACATCTCTGTGGCTCAAGGACCAGCAACAGTGATGTCACTTGGGAGCTCATTAGAAACATGGAATCTGGGGCCCTGTCCCAGACCTACTGAGTCAGAATCTGCATTTGAACAAATCCTTAAGTGATTCTTGTACAAGTTTGAGAAGCACCGCCCTGCAAAATTCATGCATATTTGAACCAGGAGGCGTGCACAGAAATATTCGTAGCAGCATTGTTTGTAGTAGCCCAAACACTGAGAGTAGAATGAAGAAGAAAATTGGGTTGCGTTCACACAATCAAAAGTACTAAACAGCAAAAAAAGAGTTAACTACAGCTATATGCCACAGGCATGGGTAAGTGGATAAATGTCATGAACCAATGACTATGAATGAAAGCAGCAAGGCAATATACGGCCTGGGTGGTGGTTATAAAGGTTTTATAATTATTTGTTAAAATGTTCATATACATACTTTTCATATGTGGTATATTTCAGAATGAAAGTGAAAGTAGAAACAAGGTACAAAAAGGCAAATTATTTGGAAACTTCATAACTGTTGTAGTTGTCAGTAATTAAATAATTGCACCATGCTGTCAGCTGATCATAGACTTAAACATACGTCAGCACCAGAGCTGTGAAATCAGTGCCTTAAAAGAGAATAAACTTTAGTTCCTACGTGTGAGTTTGGTAGGGAGGAGCCATGTGGACCTCAGAACTATAGCAGCAGTCCCCTTAAGATGGAGGGTTCTGGAATAGGAGGCAGTGGAAGGCATCAGCCTGCTGGCCAAATCACCTTGCTCTGAGGCTGGCTTGTGACCTGGAGTCCTTTTCTTCATTGCTGTCCACTAGTCCCTGCTGATGGCAAGAACTGTGCTGACAGATGCTGGAAGGAGGCACAGCCAGTCCTGCTTGCAGGAAGAGAGGGCTTTCAAGCCCTGGCGTTTCCACCCCTGCGCAGACAGTGAGATGGTTGTTTTGTTAGTATAAGGGCACAACAGTTCTGCACTGTGAGGATGAGTCTGAGAAGGCCTTTTGTTTGAGGAAAACAATGAAATGATGGATTTTTGGCATCTTTATCTGGACCACCTTTCTTTAGGAATAAACAGATGATACAGTGCAAAGTTTGTAAATATCCAAGGTAGTATTTAACCTTTTCAAGGCTGGCCCTGCTGCGCTCCCAGAGGCAGCTTCTAAGTGGCAAATGTTTCTGATGGAACTTTGGTGACATGAGGAAGTTGCTTTCAAAATATCAGAGTTTTCTGTAACGAAATTGTTTTCTGGCATCTTTATTCATGATGAAGTGTAGAGTGAAAGATGCCTTCCATCAGGGAGAAGAGGGGTATTGGTACAAGAGAAATGCCACCTCTGTGACATGAATCCGTTCTATTTAGGCAAAGCTGGGACTGCCACATCAGCAATGTCGGAGAAGGTTCGGACCCGCTTGGAGGAGCTGGATGATTTTGAGGAGGTGAGCAAGACATTTGTTGAGTGCAGGGAGTGGAAGGTGCTTTCATTCCTCTGCCAAGTAAGAGCAATCTCAGTGGCTGCTCTTGGATGAATTCTGGAGCTGCACGTTATACTCTATCCCCCTGAGGCACTGACTCCATCCAGGGAAGGATGCCAGTGCGCATTTGGCTTTGCTCATGGGGACCTGACTTGGGCTGGTTTTCAGAAGGTGTCTTTTCTCATTGTGATGCCTGAGGAAGCCCAGGTCCTCTGGGGACAGTGTCTAACAGTAAAAACCAACTGGAGTCACTCCCCTGCAAAGCAGCCTTGTGCAGTATAAAGACCATACATTGCAACAGAGGCTACACGTGGCCGCTCTGCTGGCTGGATATGGCCCACAGGAATCATTTAATTGGCCTACATGTACTTTGAAAAAATGTGAAAAACTTGCCAAGTCTTAAAAATTGGTACATTTGATAGACAAATGCAGATTTCTGGCTTTTCCTGCAAAATTCCACCTGACAGCTGTGGGCCCATATTTTTGCATTTGACCAGGTCATGCTCCATATTGGTTAACACAGTCCTGCCTGTCCTGATTCGCTTACAAGCATTACTAGCCTGGCCCCTGGAGACAGTTGAGTTGTGTCCTCTAGAATATTATTTTAAGAAGCAGCATGGCAAGGTGGGTAAGAGGACAGACTCTGGAGCCAGACTGCTTAGGTTTGAAGCCCAGCTCCACCCTTTGGTAATTCTGTGATTTTGGGCGAGGTGTTTAACTGCTCCATGCCTCCGTTTACTTGTCAGTAAAATGGGAATGATAAACAGTATCTACCCAGAAGGTTGTTACAGGGATTAAATGAGTTAATGTGTATGAAGTGCTTAGAACGGCACCCAACATGTGGCATGTGCTGTGCACATTTAGCTGCTGTTGCCATTGTTTTCCTGAGTCTAGAGTCTGTGGCTAGACTGCTTACTAACAGGGTGGTCTTGGGACTTCACCTGTCCTGTACCTGTTCCTTCATCTAGAAAATGAGGAGGAAGGATGGTTGGATGGTTGTGTGGATTGAATGAGAGTGCTTTGAAACCACAAAGGGCCATGTCATGGCAGTTGCCCCAGCCCTGTTCTGCCTCTTGCCCCTTGGTGCTGGGTCCTCCCAGCTCTGAGACCAGAGTGCTGGGTGGTCAGCAGAGTCCAGTAGTCTGATATCTTATTTCCTAAGTCAGAAATGACACATTTTGAGTTGGAGTACTCAAGAGCCTCAGTGTGCACATCATCAGCCAACCTTGGCTGGTAGTCAGGACATTGCTGAGGGCTTTCATCAAAGCTCTTCAGTCTGTGAGTATCTGAAAGTCACTGGATCTGGCTTAAGTTGAAAATAGGGGCTGTATGGGGAGGAGACAGGAGCACTGCCCCTAACCCAAGGGCACTGGCCTGGAACCAGGAACTGAAGAGCCACCCTCTGGCCTCTGGCATGGCAGCTGTCCTCTCTCTCTCTCAGTTCTGTGTAGCTCCTTGTTGCTGATTCTCTCTCTAGTTTTCCTTCATTTTTTTTTTTTTTTCACTTGATCTCAGCCAAAAGGCCAAGAAGCAATTCATTTTTTTTATGCAGGCTGGTTTCCATGCTTCTCCCTGCACACAGCAATAGTTCCCTGTCCTATGGCTTCAGGTTAATATATGTTAGTAAGGATAAGGGTAAGTTATGTTGTAGTAACACATAAACTCCCAAATCTCAGTGGTTTAATTTTTTTTTTTTCGTTAAATTCAGTGGTTTAATATGACATAGGTTTGTTTCTTGCTCACATAACACACCAGGTGCAGGTGACACCCATAGCACCCTCTTGTGATGCTGCCATATTGACATTTGGCTTCCAAAGTTGTCACAGCAGGGACTGAAGGGAGGGTAATTTTTCCCTCTGTGAATGGACACATGCCACTGTGCTTACAGTCCATTCACCCAAACTCATCACGTGGTTCCTCCTACTGCAAAGGGGCAGGGAAGTCCCTACCTCATAGTTCAAGTGACCAGTTGGGATCAGTCCAAATTCCTTGAACCTTCTACTCTTATTTCTTTAAGAGTTGTTCATTTTGGATTCCAGGAAATGCACGTATAAGAAGGTTTGGTTCCTGGTCTCCTCAGGAGTGTTAGCATGACCCTCACTCCTGTGAGCTGTGTGAATAGCCTCTTAATGATAGCTGAGGATTAAGCAGCACTTTCTATGGGCCAGGTACTGTGCCAAGTCTTAACCTACATTGTCATTTCAGCCATGGGATGATCTTGCTCTCTTCTTCTTGCCATGGGGTTTTGCTGTGGTCTTCCCTCTGTCCTGAATATTCTCTCCCTGGTTTAGTTAACCACCCCCCCTGCCCCGTGTCTAGTTAACACCTATACTCCACCTAAAGTGTGTCTCAAGCACCGCTTCCTCCAACTAGCCATTCCTGACCACCCAGTCTACAGTCCATTCCTTTGTTACCATATTTCTTTTATTCTGAGATGAATTTTTCCTCTCAGGTTTGAATATCTCTGAAATAGAGGTGTTTCTCTCAACTGGTGCAGGTCAGTGATCAGCGTATTTTTCTTAGTGGCACCTGGAACAGTTGTACTTCTTTCAATGGACACCTCAGATTCAATGAACTATATGTGTCCTCATAGAATTGTGTTTCCTCCTGGGCATTTATATCAGTTTGTGGTCATGTCCATCTCGTCCTCAGTACCTTAAGTTTCATTAGTGCAGAAATAATGTCTGTTTGCTTGAGCATCTTGAACAAAAGTGTCTTTGTGTTTTGGGCAGCTGGTACCATGCCTGGCACACGGTAAGGAGGTAAGTACTGCTATCCCTATTCACATATGAGGCTAGGGAGGAAAGTGGCTCACCCAGAATCCCACAGCCAGTGAGTGGCTGAGCTGAGAGGTAGCTTAGGTCTGACTTGCCTCTAAGGCCAGTCTCTCAACCATTGCACTCTGCCCATCTTTTGCAGAAAATTCAAAAACCTCTTTGATTGTAAAACAAAACTGTCAATCCTGGTGGGGAGATGAGGAGTATTTGGAGACTGAAGCTCAGCCAATACTCAGTATTCTTCATAGGAGTGGTGGTCGAACAGTGTTTTTTCTTCTGTGTCTATACCGTCTACTTTCTTCCCACAGGGATCCCAAAAGGAGTTGTTGAATTTGACTCAGCAGGATTATGTGAACCGCATAGAGGAGCTCAACCAGTCGCTGAAGGATGCCTGGGCCTCGGACCAGAAAGTGAAGGCTCTGAAAATAGTCATACAGGTCAGGCTAGTGATTTCCCACCCCCTAAAAAATTTTCTATGTAAAAGTCCTTTGTTTGTAATTAGGTTTTCCAAGGCCTGCCTTCAGGGTCTCACCCTCATTTTTTCATCCCTTGCATTTTCACATACTTCCTCTGAAGGGCTAGGACTGTGAACCTGTGTTTTTATTAAATGGCTAATCCCACGGCCACCATGTGCAGCAGCACAGGTTGCACACTACACAATTCCAGGAAGCACTGTTCCCCCTAGATTACAGAATTAATGATACTCCCTGGGTTGTGTAGTACATTGACCTTGGTACAACCCCTGAGACGTTTATGATTTGTACACACTAAAGATTGAGCAGCTGTCTTTTGGGTTTCCTTGACCAGATTGGCTTGGTATCTTTGGAATTAATGGTTATGTGTCTCTGATGTATGTATTTTTAAGACATACTCTGCATAATTATTTGATGAAGAAAACACGTTTACAGTATTACATGTGGTACATTTGTTGAATCCTTTTTTTTTTTTTTTTTTGGTGAGTTTATTGATCCAATGACAACTCTTGGATCACAAGAGCAATTCCTGTAAGGAAAACAGCTTACTCTGTTTCTTGGCCCTAAAGATCATCCTGTCTTGAAAACACATGCTCAGAAGTACACTGTAAAAGCAATAACACATGCTTGATCATTTTCAGAGCGGAGTTAAAGGATTTCTGAACAGCCGTTTGAGTTCAAAAGGACAAATCCCATTCTTCTTTGATGTCATGATAATGTGACACTTGTTTTCTCACCTGTTTCTTGTGAGAGATGGTTAGGAGAGTCTGGGAGTCTTTACACAGGACACTTGAAGTCTTTTAAGATGACTCCTTGTATGGCAGGGGTGATTTTTTTCAGTGTTTTCTGACAGGAGGCAAACCCAAGCCCATTGCTCTTCAATCACTGCTGTTAGTTTACAAAGTAAATACTCCTGAAGAATGGTCCTCTCATCCTAGATGCACGTGATGGGATTGCTCGCTGAGTGGCTCAAGTGAGAAGCTATCTGAACTAACAGCTGCCTCTTCAAAATGTTTTCATTGGCAGCATCTCCCCATAGATTATTATAGTATAGAACTGTGACTTCTAAGAGTTTTACATCTGGAGGAGATTTGATTCATGTTTTCTCAAACAAAATCACAAGAGTGTTTAATTAACTCCACATCTGGTTAATAGTAATGATTCTAAAATACTTTAAAGACTGTCTTCTTTACCCAAAGAGATAATCAAGATATAGAGTATGGAGAAATAAGCACAGTTTATCTTATTCTGCAGTGAAGTTTTTTGGGGGGATGAGGTTTGGCTGCTTTATTGAGGTATATTTTGCATATAAAGTCCACCCATTGTAAGTATATAATTCAGTGATTTTTAGTAAATTTACAGAGTTGTGCAACTATCATGCAACCCACTTTTAGAACATTTTCATAACTTCCCCCAAATTCCCTCGAGCCTGTTTGTGGTCAAACCCCACTGCCACACCCAGCTCTAGAAAACCACTGATCTGCTTTCCGACTCTATAAATCTGCCTTTCCTAGATGTTTCATATAAAAGGGATCATTAAATATGTAATCTTTTGCATCTGGCTTTTTTCACTTAGCATAGTGTTTTTGAGGTTCCTCCATGTTGTAGCATGTGTCTGCAGTCAGCTCCCCCATCTGTGGATTCTACATCTGTGGATTCAACCAACTGCAGATTGAAATATTTGGGGGGAAAAATTACATCTGTACTGAGCATGTACAGACTCTTTTCTTGTCATATTCATTAAACAATATAGTATAACAACTATTTACCTAGCATTTACATTGAATTAGGTATTATAAATAACCTAGAGATGATTTAAATTACACAGGAGGATGTGCATAGGTTATATGCAAATACTATGGCATTTTATATCAGGGACTTGAGCATTTGCAGATTTTGGTATTTGAGGAAAGTTCTGGAACCAATCTCGCACAGATATTGAGGGACGACTATGTTTTGTTCCTTTTTACTGCTGAATAGTATTTCATTGTGTGGATAACCACATTTTGTTTGCCCATTGGCAAGTTGATGGACATTTGGGTTGTTTCCACTCTCTGGCTCTTTCTGAGTAACGCTGCTATGAGCATTTATATACAAGTCTTTGTGTGGACTTATGTTTCCATTTCTCTTGGGTAAATTCCTAGGAATGGAATTGCTTTATCATATGGTGAGTTTAAATTTAACTTGTTGAGAAACTGCCAAACAGCTTTCCAAAATGACTGTGCCACTTACATTCCTACCAGCAGTTTGTGAGCATTCCAGTTCCTCCACGTCCTCTCCAACACTCATCATTGTCTGTCTTTTTTATTATAACCATCCTAGTGGGTTTGAAGTGGTTGTTGTGGTTTTAATTTATATATCCCTAATAATTAATGATGTTGAACATTTTTTCATATTTGTATTGGCCATCTGTATATTTTCAGTGAAATATCTATTCAAGGCCCACCCATTTTTTTTAATTGTGTTATCTTCTTGTTGAGTTGTAGTAATTCTTTATATAGTCTTGATATAGGTTCTTTATCAAGTATATGATCTCCTAGGCTGTGTCTTATCTTTTAATTCTCATAATGCTGTCTTTTGAAGTGCAGAAGTTTTTAATTTTAACAAAGTCTCATTCATCAATTTTCTCGTTTTAGCTCATGTTTTTGAAGTTGTATCTGAGAACTCTTTGCCCAACTCAAGGTCATGAGAATTTTCTCCTATGTTTTCATATAGAAATTTTATAGTCTTAGCACTTATATTTAGGTTTAGGGTCTATTTTGAATTAATTTTTGTGTATGATATGAGGTAAGGGTCTAAGTTTAATTTTTCCTATGTGTATGTGCAGTTCCAACAGCATTTGCTGAAAACTATCATTTTCCCTATTGAATTATCTTGGTACTTTTATCAAAAATAAATTGACCATAAATGTAAGGGTTTATTTGTGAATTCTCAATGTTTATTCCATTGATCTTTAAGTCTATCCTTATGCCAGTTCCACACTGTCTTGATTACTGTATCATTATAGTAAGTCTCAAAACTGGTTAGTATAAGTCCTTTAACTTTGTTGTCCTTTTTAAAAATTGTTTTGGCTATTCTGGGTCCTTTACATTTCTGTATGAATTTTAGGACCAGTTTGTCAATTTCTATAAGAAAAACCCTTCGGGGATTTTGACAGTGATTGCATTGAGTATAAAATAGTCTTCTGATGCATAAATTATTCCATCTGTAAATCGGTTCTTTCCTTTTCTTTTTTTATTATTATGAAAGTCGTTGCTGTGAACACTCTTGGACATGTCTGCTGGTGCCCATATAAAGCATTTCTCTAATTAAGGGCACATACCTAAGAGTGGAATTGCTTGGTCTCAGGCTGTGTGCCTTTTCAGTTTTACCAGATAATGTTAGCCTATGTTCCACAGTAGCTGTGGCAGTGGGAGAATGAGAATCTGTGCTATTCAACATTCTGCCACCATTTGGTATGAGCAGACTTTCTATTTTAATTTTCCAGTTTAGGAGGTAATAAGATCATATATTATTGTGGCTTTAATTTGCAATTCCCTTATTACTAATAAAATTGAACATCTTTTCACATGTTTGTAGGACATTGGGATTTCCTTTTCTGTAAAATGCCTTTTCTGTAAAATGCCTTTTTCTTTTGCCCATTTTTCCATTATGTTATTTGTATTTTTCTTACTGAGTTTTAGGATTTTTAAAATATATTCTGGATAGTAATGGTCTCCTTCCTTCCCTCCTTTCTTCCTTAGAACTCAGCCACAGGTCATCTTTTAATTTATCCATTTGTTCTGGTTATTCAAATACATATTTTTTAAAATCTTAATTTTAGAAACTACTAGTGTTCTTCTAGAATTTTGCTAATTGGAAGCAAATGAGAAACACCCAATTGGTATTTTTCCACCAATGTTAGTAATAACATGTTAGTTTGATAGCATGTATTTCAGGTATAGTAATTTATCAGTCGGTTTTTCAGTAAATGTTTATAGCAATGATTTTCAACCTTGGCTGTACGTTAGAATCATTTGGGAGCTTTAAAAAATCCCACTGTCCAAGCTGCACCCCAGACCAGTTTAATCAGAGTCTAGGGGGTGGGACCCAGACCCAGTAATGGGACCCAGGCACCATTACTTTTAAAAGTTCCCCAGATGATTCCAAAGTTGAGAACAGTTAATTTATAGGATGCTTATTCCATTCAGAGCTACAGATTTGGGGTGATATATGAACCAAGTGTTTCTAACCTAGTTTGTGCATAGCAATCACCCAAAGCCCTTGTTAAAAATACCGATTCCCTGCTGCTTCTGACTAGAGATTTTGACCAGTAGGTTTGGTGTGGAGCAGAGAATTTGTATTTTAACACACACTATCAGACAAGTTTAGGAAACTGTATCAAGGCTTTAAAAATGGTGGCATCCTCAAAATAGTAATTTAAAAGATAATTTCAATTCATAAGATTATTATGGCTTTAACAGGATTAAAAAAAATTCTGGTTCCTGTTGTCCTTTATAAGATATATGTTCTGTAAAGCCAGCTTGGGAGAAAATCAGTGCACAGATGTTGGGGAAGCCCCAGCTGTGTTTAATTTGAAATCTTCTGTTTGAATTTGCTCTCTTGCCTCAGCAGCAGGCAGTAACTCATCTCTGAGTGGCTCTGCATGTGAGGTTGTGAGTAGGGACCCAGGAGATGTCACATCCCTAGGAACTGAGAGTTGTGTATTGCAAACAGTCTCTAGGATCCAGAGTTGGTTGTTTTTCCAGTCCTGAAATCTTATGGGACAATTGTTTAAATTGGAACTCTCATAAAGGGCATACGAAAATCACAAAGCGAGGCATCAGGAAATGGAATTTCCATGTGCATCCAAATGCCACGTTTGGTGTCAGCACCATTGTTTTAACAGCTTACATCTTTTCTCCCCAAATAACATCTGGGCTGAAAGAGGATGTTTCACAAATCAGACACATTGTTTACTTTTAGGAGTGTAATGCTAACGAGAAACTTGGTGAGTCCAACAATTTAGATATTGGGTAACAACCCCAAACTGAAAACACATGTCAGCCTAACTCTTGACATGGTGACTGTTCTAACCATTCTCTGCATATTGGGGATGCATATTGGAGGACCCTTTTTAAATATCCAAAAATTTTTTATTTTTAACTGACATTTTGCTAACTGAGTGTCAGCCATTGGAATGATAAAATATAGCAAAGTTATTTAATTTCTCATGTTGACTTTTGAATGTGTGAAGACTTTAGGGCATTACATTTGGTTCTTCAATGTAAAGTAGCTTTTTTGTTTCTGATTATAAAAGGTGACATAATCTGGGGTGTTTGGAGCCATGTTGTGTGGTGGCCATCTTCCCTTAAGAGTCCTGAACGTGTCAGTGGCCCTGTGGCATGGGTGAGAGTGTAGGGATTGACCAATTTCCTGCAAAGCTGAAATGTTCCCAGTGTTGAAGATCATTCCAGGGTAGCATGTACTCTTTGAAGCTTGCCATGCTTCCTTTTAGAGGGAAATTCAGGAGTGAGTATACATAATCCAGTTAAGTTTTTTTTTTTTTTTTTTTCCTTTTTGTTTTTTTTCGTGACCGGCAACGGATCGCAACCCTCAGTGTCGCACCCGTACCAGACCGGGACCGGCAACGGGATCGCAACCCTCGGTGTTGCACCCGCACCTTGCTCAGCCAGTGAGCGGTCGGTCTGTATGTGGGATCCGAACCCTCGGCGGGAGCGCCGCCGTGCTCCCAAGCTGCACACTGTAGCAGTGCGCCACCGGGCCGGCCCCATAATCCAGTTAAGTTTAAGAAGCCTTGGAGATTTACTTATGAGGCCGTGTTATCGAAAAGAACATTTAAGAATCCAGACAACCCTGAGAGAGACCAGAAGAAGCCAGGCTGGAAAGCAGTTGGAACAAAAGTTGGGTCACCTGAGAGGACTGTGACAGGAGACTGTGACAGGACTGTGTGTCATTCACTTCTCTCTGTCTTTGAGTGCTGGTTCTGGTTCAGTGTATGAGTGGGACCATTCTGGACAAGACTTCCTCGGTCCTGTGGCTTTACTGGAGCAAGGTGATAGTGGCTTTCCTTAAGAGGCTGTGTTGTGAGAAGAGCTGGGCCTCCTTTGTCAAAAGCACATGGTTTTGCTTATCATTATATACCAGTGCCTAGCACATTCTTAACTTATTTATAGAAATCATTAATTTTCCAGGTCTGGAGTGTCCCAACCAAGTCAGACCTGCCAGAGTGAATTTTCTTTTTTCTCTCTTTCTAGTGTTCAAAGCTTCTTTCAGACACCAGCGTTATTCAGTTCTACCCAAGCAAATTTGTCCTCATCACCGACATACTTGATACGTTTGGTAAGTACCAGTCATACTCATCTTAGATCTAGGAAATGTGTCTGTTTGTCAGGAGCTGGGTGGTAGAGTTGCTTTAAAATAGGTTCTGCTGTGGTTTAAGTAATTTGGTAAGTTGTGAGGGAGAGCAAACCATCCCCCCACACCCATGAACAAGGGTGCTGTTTTTGAAAGAATCTTAAATTTTTTTTTTCTAATCTTCTGATAGGCTAGGCAAGTGAGCGGGGCAAGTTATGGAGCTGCTAGGCTCCTGTCTAAACCAGCTCCCTCATGATGTCCATGTCCTGGGCATCTGACACTACCTCTATTCAGAGCTGAACTTAGCATCTCTTCCCAGCCTTTTCCCTACCCCCATGGGGTTCTGTCTCAGGAAGTGGCACTGCTGTGTACCCAGTTGCCCAGGCTGGAAACCTGAGAGTGTTCTCTCTTATGCTCATATCCAGTAACCAAGTTCTTCAGCCTCTTAAGTCTCTCCCCACTGTGTCCATTTTTCTCCGTCTTCACTTAATCCTAGCTACAGTCTTCTCCTGCCTGGGTGACAGCTGCTGTCACTATGAGGTCTTCCTCCACCACTGGGGCTGCCCCTAGTCCCACACTCCACACCACAGGCAGAATGATATTTTGAAGCCTGGTAGAAAGGTCTAGACTGAAGAGAATAACCTGGAAGAGCAGGAGGCCCTTGTGCTACTTGGCAGTGGTCATTGGCCAGAACATCATGCCTCTAACAGTTTGCTTAAACCATGCAGCTCTCTGATCTGTACGTGGCATTCAGCAGCGAGGTGCCCCTCAAGATCTAGGAAACAGGGTCGCTTTCAGAGAGCTGAACACATAGGAGATCAAAACAGACATTCACTGTCTTACCAAGGAGAGAACAGTGGGTTCTCAAACGAGCAAGTCTTGTCTGTTCAGGAGATGGGGACCTGAGTGTACTAGCTAAAACAGAAAATCTAAATAGTTTGGAAAAGGGGGTATTTATTGGCTTATGCTTAAAAGTCCATAGGTAGTTTCTGGCTTCAGGTACTGCTGGATCCAGGAACTCAAATATTGTCATCAGGACCTTGTCTCTCTCTAGTACTTTCCCTCAGGCTGTCTTCATTCTCAAGCTTTACAAGTTACTTTCAGCTTCTGTCCGCTTTACTGCTGGTGGTCCCAGTGCAAGGAAAGAGCTTCTTTCTCCAAGCATTCCAACAGAAGTCCCAGAATTCCATCTCACTGGCTCTGCTTGGGTCACATGTCAGTTCCTGATCCAGTTGTGATATTTGGGGGATGAAATACACTGATTATCCAGGCCTGGATCACCCCAAAAGGAAAGAGGTGATGCAGTTACCCAGAAGAAAGGGGAGTGGGTGCTAACTGGGCAAGAAGAAATGTCACAGCTGAAAGATAGGACCTGCTGGGTTCAGATGACCTGGAGAGGTAGTGTCAGGCACTCTGCTGGGCAGTGGGGATATACCAGCAAATTGACGAGACGGAAGTCACTTCCTTGGTGGTGCTTATGTTCCAGTAAAAGATAGAGAATTGACAGAACGACTAAGTCTACCCAAGTGTATGTTAGGTGATGGTCAGTGCTATGGAGAACAAACAAACAGGGTGGGGTGAAGGGGAGCGGAGGGAACTGGGTGAGGGACCCGGGGGTGGGAGCATGCCCAGCAAGTATAAAGAACTGTGAAGAGGCCAGGGTAGCTGGAGTGGGTGAGCAGGTGAGGAGAAGGGCAGGAGCTGACATGGCCAGAGACATAGTGGGACTCTGGGCTGCTGGAAAGACTCTGAGGGCTTGAGGAGCCACCTCTTCCCTTTTGGGGTGATCCAGGCCTGGATAATCAGGAGCAGAGGAGGGAGGCGATCTGATCTGGGTTTTAGCAGACTCCCTCTGGCTGCTGTGTTGAGACTAGACTGTAGGGACAGGGTGGAGGAGGCAGCATGGCTAGGACTTCTGGTGAGAGGTGAATGTGGCATGGCCCCAGGAAGGCCATGGAGACACAAGGAGCTGTCCGGAACGGATGGGCAGGCTCTCAGGATGGAGGTCAAGTCATACACTACTCGAGCCTCGACTTGCTTTTGCACACAAACTGCCTGTAGGGAGCAAGGACATCAATCAGCTATGTCTGGTTCTCCCGTCAGTCCTGTTTATCCTGTTGAATTAGCACATTGGCCTTCTGGTTTCCCTCACCTGCCTCCTGCAAATTTCTTTTGCATGAGTCAGCATACTGGCTCGAGACTAGCTCTGGGACATGGTGAGATACAGTTTCCACCCTGCAAGGTTGGCCAGACCCAATCAGTGCATTCACCTTGCGAGAACTTTGGATGGCTACTCTGCTTCTCCCCACTACCCCTGCTGGTGGCACCCAGCCCCACACCTCAGCAAGCAGGTCATAGTGCAGATGTCTGCCATCCTTGGGCCGCACTGTTCTAGGTGCTTTACAGATGTTAAGTGACGTAGTCTACATAACAGCCCAATGAGGTAGGGCCTGGTGTTATCTACATTTTATAGAGGAGGAGCCTGAGGCACAGAGAAGTAATGTATCTTGCCCAAGGTCACCTGTTTAATGAGTGGCAGAGCTGGGACAAAATTCACAAAAACTCACAGTTTGAGTCCCAAGTTGAGCTGGGACTCAAACTTGGCTCTTTCCACAGTCAAAGCACCTGCTTTATTTCTGTTGTACATTGACATTGCTCATGGGGGATGTTCCGCACTCCACGAAAACTATGAACGCGTATCCCTTCGACCCAGCAATTTCACCTCTGGGAATTCATCTTATTTGTAATAGTAAAAGATTGGAAACAACCCAAGTGGCCATCAGTAGGAAACCAGTTGAATAAATTATGGTGTGTCTACATAATGTGTAGGAATGAATGAGAAATGAGGACAAGGAACGCCCTGCAGGTGTATTGTCAAGTGGGAGAGTCAGGATGCAGAACTGCTATGGAGTGTGTTACTTTTTGTGTAAAAAATTCACAAATATAAGTTCATATTCACTGTGTTAGCCTAAAGGAACGTTAGAAACTACCCAAGAAACTAACAGAAGTGGTTGCTCTCAGGAGGTGGTCAGGGCAATGAGGAGGACGGGATTAGAAACTTCACTCTGTACCTTCGTTGTGAGTTTTTGTGAATTTTGAACTGTGGGCATGTTTTACCTATTCAAGACCAAATGTTCAAAGGACCCACTTTCAGCACTCCCTGAAGTCCCCTGTCCTTCCTGTCCACTTCGGAGCGGTGTTCTCAGGGGTGCTGTTGTCTGGATCTGTTGTGAACAATATTCCTCAGGACTATTGAGGCAGCCTGCATTGACAGGTGCTCAAGCAGACTTTGTTGTGCTCTGGGGTAACTAGTTTTCACTTTTTACAAAAGGAGTGGAAGCCTACCTTGCCTGGGTGGCAATCTGGAGTCCTGAGGTCAGTCTTTTCATGCACTGTCATCACTCTCTGCTCATAAGAAGATACATGTCGGTTCAGGGGCAGGTGCTGAATGGTTGTCGTCATCGTAGACAGAGGGTCGGGGCATCTTGCTGTGCAGGGACACAGGATGCAGCCTGGGCACCCACAGGGTGGCATGCACAATGGGAAATGTGTGCCTGGTTTTGGTTGGGTTTTCACTACAGGCAGCAGGCACAGATGTGGGCTTCCGGCTTCCGTGCTTGACTCTCCTTCTTCAGGGTTGTGGGAACTTCAGCCTCAGTTTCTTCACCCTATGAAATGGGATTATCATAGACCCTGCCTCCAAGGGCTTCTGGAGAGAATTAAATGAGAGTATGTGTAGGAAGCCTGCAGTGGTTTTCCCCTTCTCAGAGCTTGCTGGCAGGATCAGAGTAAACATCTTTGAATAGTTCCTGGGACAAAAAAGTGCTCAGAAAATGGTAGCTGTTATCACTGTTGTTTATCTATTTTAGTGTCCTTGATTTATAAGAAAGTGAATCAAGAAAGGAAATAAATCTAGGATCAGGTATTATTTCTTCAGACAGTTGTTCACTAACTTAACAAAAGAAAAATAGCTTGTTTGGGCAAAAATGATTTTGTAGTTAAAGGTCTCTTAGAATATGAAGGTGAAATATAAAAATTATATATATATATTTTCTTAAAGAAGGCTAGAGAGATGGCAAGCTTTTTGTGTAGAAAGTAAAGGTATTTCGTGCTAAGTCCATTCCCTGCACCGTAGGGGTGAGAAATTACTCAGCTGTCCAGCGTGGCTTGTTCTGTCATAATCTGAGGTAAAACTGCACACAGCCCCAATGCTAGGGTATTGCAGGCATCACAGGGAAGGCCTCTTTGCAACAGGTGTGGCTGCTGTGTGGAGCCCATGGCCCCAGGTAACAAAAACATGTCCTGGCAGGAGGAAAAAGGCAGGTGGCTTTGAGAACTGGGGCTGGTTCTCTAAGGCTTCCTGGAGCTTCTAAGTGGAACTGATGTTTTGGAGCAGCACTTCTCATCCTTGGCTGCATGTTGAAGTCACCTGGGGAGCTTTAAAAACATTCCCAGTGTCCCAGCTGCACCCCAGACCCTTTATATCAGAACTTCTGAGGACAGACACAGACATTCACATATTTTTACGAGCCCCAGATGCTCTGAGTGCACCAACAGGTTTGAGAAACACTGTTTTAGAGGAAGGAGGGAGGCTTATTGCTGTTTCTGGAGATCCTAGATCCGAGACAAGTTTTAGCTCAGAGGTGTACTGGCATCTGCCTAAATCAGTGGTTCTCACACTACAGCATGTATAAAGATTTCACAGGGAGGTTATTCAAAATTCATATTCCTAGACCTCACTCTCTAAAATAATCCTTTTCAGAAGCTCTAAAGTGGGCCTCAGGAATGTTAATTTTCAACAAGTCTTTGGGTGATTTTAATGCAGGTAGTCCACACTGGGAGAGGCACCTAGGTGGTACCTCTTAGCATGGCTGGCTTCCTTCACTTAATCCTAACCTTGTGTCATCTTGTGGTGAGATCATTTGTTCCCATGTTCTTTGACCAGAAATGATCCTTGTAACTTTCCTGTCTCTTCTTCCATGTATGGGCAGGATGTGTTGTTGTTTACTGCCCTCAATGATGGGGTTATGGAAAAATTAACAGAAGAAAATACTTTTAAATTGAAGGTGAATTAGGAGCATTCAGTAAATGAATAAGAACTGTAATTTTTACCCCCTCTATATTGGTAACATTTTCCAAAATACATGCACAGAATAAATAAAGCTTTTTCTTCTACTTTAAGGCTCCAGACTGCCTACCTGTTTTGTGGAACACAGCCATGTCCATTCGTTTACATATTGTCTATGGCTGCTTTTATGCTACAGTGGCAAAGTTGAGTAGTTGCAACAGTGACCTATGACCTACAAAAGCTAACATGTTCATTCACTTATCCAAAACATATTGAGTACCCAGTATATGCCAAGCATTGATCAGATACTGGGGATATGTCAGTGAATAAAACAGGCACAAATCTCTGCCCTCATGGAGCTTGCATTCCAGTTGGATCTTAAGTTCTGATGCTTCCAGGCACCTGGCAGGTCATATCAATGAGTAAAGCATGCTGACGATGAGGGACAATAGGGGGCAGTGGAGACTGGCAAATGGGGTACTGTATATGCCATTTCACAAGGTAGCTGCTGATCCGCACTAGCTGTGTGTTACCCTATAGGGATATGAGCACATTTTTGGCACATCTTATGTAAAGAATCAGGAAATCTGGTTTTTCATGTGAATTCGCCCAGTTTTTACGTATTGATAACTCATTCAAAAAATGTTAAAACACTTTGTGGTTCAAACAAAACTGGTCCAGCCTCTGGGCTGCCCATTTTTACCTCTGTTGAGAGAATGGAGATTCTTGAGGCTCCTTTGGCCTTTCAGTTAAGACTCCAGAGGGTAACATGGTCACTTTCCTGCCTCTTTCAGAAAGTAAAATCCCCTATTTCATTTATTTTATTTTATTTTATTTTATTTATTTATTTATTTATTTATTTTTTATTTTGTCAATATACACTGTATATGATTATTATGGCCCGTCACCGACACCTCCCTCCCTCCTCCCTCTCTCCCCTCCCCCCCAAGAATGTCCTTTGCGTTTGCTTGTTGTAACAACTTCATGGAAGTATAGTTGTTATATCTTCTTCCCCACCCCACCCCCCTCCGGTTTTTTGTGTGTGTGTGTGTGTGTGTGTGTGTGTGTGTGTGTGTGTGTGTGTATGTGGGTGAATTAGTTTGTTTGTTTTTCTTTTTTTTTTTTTTTAGCTCCCACCAATGAGTGAGAACATGTGGAATTTCTTTTTCTCTGCCTGACTCGTTTCACTCAATATTATTCTCTCAAGGTCCATCCATGTTGTTGCAAATGGCAGTATCTCATTAGTTTTTATAGCTCAACCCTATTTCATTTAAAATAAATAAATAAATAAATTTTTTTAAAAAAGAAGTGTTGCTTAAAATTTGTCCCACTAGGTGGCAGCATACTATCACAAGTAAAAGCGTGCCTGGGAGATACCTCTTGTCCCTAATTAACAAATGTTTATTTAGTGTTTGCTCCTGAAGAGTGTGGTGCTAACACCATCTGTCCTTCTCCCTGCAGGAAAACTTGTGTATGAGCGCATCTTTTCCATGTGTATGGACAACCGCAGTGTCTTACCAGGTAATGTCATGGCCATTCTGTGATGTCATTCTGCCCTGCAGTCAGGATTAGAAGGTTTTTATCAAGTCAAGATGTATTGAGACCCGATAAGTTTTTAAAATTGGTGTATTAAAAGTAAAAGAAACACCTTTGAAGATTTCTGATCATCTCAGTCTTCTAAAAATATTAGGTTTTCATATGGGCCTGTCTAGGAATTTGGGCAAGTAATTTGAGTCTGCAAGAATGAAAAAGTACCACAGTTAGATTCTGCTGAATTTTCAGACCAATTGACTTTCTTCTGCTGCTTAACATTTTAATGTTTTCTCTACACATCTTTCTTAAGGAGCAAATTTTTAAAAAAAACAGCTTTATATATATTAAAAAACAAAATTTTTAAAGAAACAACTATATATATAGTTATATGTATTAAAAAATAACTTTATATATATTAAATCAATAACAACAGCTGCCTTGACTCTACAATCTATTCTCAAGTGCTGTTTGCATTAAATTTATTTATTTATTTATTTATTAATTTTTTCCTTTTTGTCTTTTTTACTGACTGGTAACGGGATCGCAACCCTCGGTGTCGCGCCCGCACCGGGGACCGGCAACGGGATCGCAACCCTCGGTGTTGCGCCCGCACCGCACTCAACCAGTGAGCGGGAACCGGTCTCCACATGGGATCCGAACCCTCGGCGGGAGCGCCTCCGCGCTCCCAGGCGGCGCACTCTCCAGTGCGCCACCGGGCAGCCCTGCATTAAATTTATTGCCTATCAATTTTAAATTCTCAGGAGGTTATAATGGGACAAGTGGATGATGAATTTCATTTGCCATATAAATGACGATGATGATGTGACTGGCAATGCAGGACTCTGTGGCAGTTTCCTTTTCCTTTCCCTTCTTTTAACTTGCAAGCGCTGCTGTAAGGAGACATCCTCATCCGTACAGGCTAGAGTGACCAGCCTGTTCCATCCTCACTCTACCTCCATCTCCTCCTGGTAGTGGTACTTCCCCAGGAGATGAAGAGAAGGTGTCAGTGACAATAACCCATAATTTAACCTTCCTTCACTGACTATATGAGTACAAACAACATTTTAGGGCCAATTAAGGAAAAATTACTAATAACTGACTCCCTACCTAAACTCTAGAAGTTCAAAATAAAAGGCTGTTTTCGTATTCACTTCCAGTCCTTGTCTAAATATATTAATTTGCCCTTTTATCACTGAAATTCTTCCCTCCCCAAATATCTATTTTTTTCCCTTGAGCAATGCAAATCAGGCTTTTGGGTTTTTTGCAGATGATTTCATCATTATTTCTTTTCTTGCAAGGGTTGACCGGTTGGTTAGAGCACAGTGTTACAACACCAAGGTCAAGGGATTGATCCCCACCCCTGTCGCAGCCAGCTGCCAAAAAAAACCAGTTAAAATCTTTATCTGCATGTGTTTTTTCTGGTTCCAAAAACCTGAAAAGGAAAGGGGCAGACTTTTCTCAAGATGTCGGTGATCTGGGGAATGACTCTTAACTATAATTATGTAGAAAGCTTTTGAAATCTACTGTACAGAATTCTGCCTAGAGAAGTTATGTATAAAGAGAAATTCATGACATTTGTTCTCATTCTTTCCATTCGAATCAAGTTCTGACTAGTGAATTTAATACATGAGCTCGTTGCCTTCAGGAGTTTTAACTAAGGTATAGTTCTTATGAGTTCAGAAAGATAGCAGTGTCTTTTGGGGTCATAAAGAGTGTGCACTACCAGATGTGGTCATTTCTTCCCAACCTTTCTTAATCCAGCGTATATGTGAAGAGCCCATCTACTCTGAGTGATAGAATCATTTTATTTTGAGCTTGGGAGAAACCATTTGGGTTCTCATCATCATCATTTCAGCATTCCCATCTTTGGCTCTTCCCTATAACTGACGTGGGCCCATCAGGATAAGCAGTGGCCTTAACTGGCCTGGCCTTTCAGGCATATGCTAACTAAGACAGTGTCGCATCCCTATAAGCACTGTTATGTAAAGAGACCTCTCACTGCCAGGACAGAGACTTGGCAAATAAATGAAAGAGAACTAGACTCATTGGTCTCCTGCCGCCTCCTAAAATATCCGCAGAAGTTCAGGGTTGAAAAAGAAGCATCATAAAATAAAAATAAGTGGGGACAAGAAGGAAAATCTTTGCTCTTTGTTACGTCGCAGTCCCTTCTGAATTAATTTCCAAATTCTGAATTCATTCTGCATGTAGCAGCCCCATTCTAATTATGGCATTCCTCTGCTCAAAACCCTTCAGGGAGTTTCCGTTGCACTTAGACAAACTCTGAAACCCCTCACCAAGGCTGCACCCCTGCATAGGCTGGCTTGTGATGCCTGTTCGTCATTGGCTTTCTTTCTTTCTTTTTTTTTTACTTTTTTTATTTTTTATTATTTTTTTTGTGGCCGGTAAGGGGATCGCAACCCTTGGCTTGGTGTCGCCCGCACCGTGCTCAGCCAGTGAGCGCACCGGCCATCCCTATATAGGATCCGAACCTGTGGCCTCGGCACTCCCAATGCCGCTGCGCTCCCAGCGCCGCACTCTCCTGAGTGAGCCACGGGTTCGGCCCTTGCTTTCTGTTCTTTGACCATGCCAAGGTCTTACCTACCTCAGTGCCTTTGCACATGCAGCTTTCTCTCCCTGGAATACATTTCCCCCATATTAAGCATAGTTGGCTCCCTTTTGTACTTCAGGGTCCAGCTCAAATGTTGTATTTGTAGGTAGGCGCCTTCTCTGATCACCCTATCTAGTGAGCACCCCCACCTCTCACTCGAGTTGCTCTCTATTCCAATACCTAGTTTTGTAGCTTTCATAGTACTGACTAGTATTGGACCTTATTATGTAAGATAATATATAATGTTCGCCTGCTTATTCTTTTTCCTGTTTATTATTCGTCTTCCCTTACTGGAATGGAAGCTTTATGAAGGCAGGGTCTGCCTCATGCACTGTAACACTTCCTTCAGTTTGCTCCTAAGGCATTTGTGTTGAGCAAATGAAGAAAGGAATATAATATTTAGTTTGCTGTAAGACTATAAAGTTCTGCAGAACATAATCCTTTCCCTAAATTATTTCTTAAGTTGGAAGGAAAGCCTAAAGACTTTGTGTCGGTATATGCTGATTGCTGGATAGCTTGCAGACAGTGTGTGTATACGAGGCAACTTGCCTTTCGTGAGTTTATAGATCACGCCAGAGACCTATTTCTGCTTTTGGATTTCAAGGCACATGATACAGTAATATGAAGGGAAATTAACCCTGCCCTCTCCCAAAAGACAAGGCTGACAAGTGAATTTAAGGATAACCCGTGTCTTTTCCTGTATGCATCTCCTGAAACTCAAAAAAAAAAGTTACTTCATGTGTATGGGTTCAGCCCAGGAAGGAAAAAATGATGATCTCCCGTGCTTTTGAACGTAGTAAGTGAATAGTTCTCGAATGAATGAAACATGCGAGACATCCAAAAATAGATAAATACTTGAGATTTGCAGTTTCAGCATATCTGCAGTTGTGATTAGTGACTGTTTTCTGCTAGAGGAGTACCTAGAGGTTTATCTTTTTTTGGTGATTCCACATGAATTTTGATCACCTTAATCATATACCATCACGTGGCAGAATCAGGGATGAAAAATGACTCATTGCAAAACAGCATGAGAGCCGACAAGCTAAGAATTATTTGCTGTGTTCTAAAGTAGTTAACTTCTCCCTTTTTGATTGAATCCTAAAAATATAAAACACACCCAGTGGTGGGATGGAGCTCCAGGCTTTGCTGAAATCATTTAGAAGAGATCATTTTTATGTGAGAGTTCAGCAGTGGGCTTTGATGGTGTTAAGTTTTGTTTTTTCCTTCGTTTTCCATACTCTCTTCCATTCCTTATTAAGATGTATGTCATGTCCAGAGCTGTGAGAAATATGTTTCTGTTGGTTTTTGTAAGAAAATGTATGTCAAGATTAGGCTTGGGTTCCAGTACCAGAAAACTCAAAATAATAATATCGAGGTCAGGGCTGGTGGGGCAGCTAGCCCATGGTGCCCGAGATCCTCACTGCCTCTGTCCTGTGCCCTCATGGTTGAGGATGCCACAGAGGTTCCAATTATTGCATCTGCATCCCAATCAGCAGGCAGGAAGAAGGAGTGAGGCAGGGCAAGCCCCTTCCCTGCAAGATATTTCTCAGAAGTTGTACCTCTGTTTATATCCTGGGACCAGAACTTGGTCACATGACCACATCTAGCTGCAAGGATGGCCATATGCCCAGTTGAAAAATGAGAGTTCTATTATTAAAGAGGAAGAGAATAGATAATGGGGTGAACTGGCAGTTTCTCCACAAGGTGACTCGAGTCTTGGAGCCAGGATTGAGCTGGCAGCCTAACTCTGGCCAGTGTCTCACCTCAGGCCTTGCCTTCATGTCTGGCCCATGTGATGCTTAGAGCAAAGCTAAGATCACATTTCACATTACAGTTGCAGGACCCTAAAGCATCTGGAATTCTCAGCAATGCTGTCAGAGTGTCTTAGTCCGTTTCTGTTACCTGTAACAGAATACCTGCAAGTGGGTAATTTATAAAGAAATGAAATTTATTTCTTACAGTTTTGGAGGCTGGGAAGTCTGAGGTCCAAGCAGCACACCTAGTGAGGGCCTTCTGGGTGAAACTTTCTACAGGGTCCTGAGGTGACCAGGGTGTCACAGGACAAGAATAGGCTGAGCCAGAGAGCTAAACTTCTCACTCACTCTCCTTATAAAACCATCAGAACCACACCCATGACAACCCATTAAACCATCAACCCTTTACTCCATTCGTTCAGAGGGAACAGTCCTCACAATCTAATCACCTCTTAAAGGCCACACCTTTGAAATACCTTAATTAGATTTCCCACCCTCTTAGCACTGTTATGATGGGAGTCAAGCTTCAGTGAGTTTTGAGGGGATATTCAGTCCACAGCACAGAATTACTGGTGGGTACACCAAGAACCTGTGGATTATATTAGGGACAGTGGCTAAGCATGTAGGCTGTGGAGCCAGATTGCCTGGATTGAAATCCAGCTCTTAGACTTGCTTGCTGTGTGCCCTGGACAAGTTGCTGAACTTCTCTGTGCCTTGGTCTCTGCATGTATACAGGAGGAAAGTAAAGTACATATCTCTGAGGGCTGTTGTGGGGATTAGGTGAGCTAATGTCGGTAAAGTGCTCTGAACAGCACCTGGCACTTAGAAAGCCTGGGTGTTATGTACGCTATTGTCAACATCAGTTATTTTCTAATAATGATATTTGGAAGGAAAGACACGGAGGAACTGAGTATGCTGCCCCCTTTCCTGCTCCATGGTACCGTTTTCCTATCCCAGAACTCATAACAGCAGCAAAAGATGCTAAGATTCAGGAAGGCTGACGGGTACTGCTTCTGTGTTACAGATCACTTTTCTCCCGAGAACGTAAATGACACAGCCAAGGAGACATGCCTCAATTGGTTCTTCAAGATTGCTTCCATCAGAGAACTCATTCCAAGATTGTATCCTTTTTATGTCTGATGATTTTAAAGATAGGCTAAAGGGTTGCACTGTTAATAGAAGGCATATTGTGGGATACCCTGAAATTCCTGTTGAAAATCTGGACCATTATGGTTGCAAGTCTGAGAATGGGCAGGCCACATGGTAGAAGCTATTAGACCTGTGCTGTCTCCAAACAGTGTTTTGTTTTTCACTTTGAATAAGATGCCAAGTATTAGGCTTTTCTTTCCTTGAGGAACATTCTCCCATTAATTCTCTCAATTAAAATGCTTCATCTTTAGTGGTTTCTCTAGTTTCAAGAACTTGAAAGGAACAGCGTTTTTGGAACAAATGCCAATATTGAAGAACAGAGAATGTGACCTATACCCAAGTTATATCTTAGTTATCTAAAGTTCATTCTTTCCCCATTAAGCCTTGATTTGAAATGCTCAAAACCCCGTTTAAATTATAGCACACAACCATGAATCAACACATAACATTCTCCGAAATATATTTTAAACAAGTATGAAACCTTGAGAACTGTGTATAGAAACCACAAGCCACTAGCTCACTTCATTCTCTGGATTGTGGAGGTCCATGAGGGCCCCTCTCCTAAGACCTGCCTAGGTCTGTTCATGAATAGTTTAGTCTTTTCTCCTAAGGAAATAGGCTGTCTGGAAAATGTCTTTCTTAACGGAATGTTTTTGTAGTTATGTGGAAGCATCCATCCTGAAGTGTAACAAGTTCCTCTCCAAAATGTAAGGCTCTTCTTTAATGTCTAGAACCACAAAATTTCTAAAAATCTCTCTCTTTCTTACACACACACACACACACATACACACGCACACACACGCTAATGGCAATGTAACAGGAGCTATCATTTATTGATTGCTTAGTGTGTGGCAGATCTGCTGCTGAGCTCCATCTGTGCATTTTCTCATTTAATCCAAATGAAAACTTAATGAAGTAGAGACACTGTAACACTAGGTGACCACACTAGTTGTTGCGGCTCTATTACCTGCCGGTAATACTGCACTGATTGGGCCAATGGTTGAGCTACAACTGGGTCTGGAGCTCCCAGACCCCTCAAGCCCATTCACAGACTGGGTCACAAACCCTTCACACACCAGGCTGGGTCACCAGACCCCTTCACGCAGTTCTATAAGCTAGGCAACTGGCCACATGGTCCTTGGAAGCTGCAGGTCTGGAAAAACATGGCTGTGCAGGGTGGGCGCCTGAGGCAGTAAACACCAGCCAAAGCGGCGCCATGCGGGCCTACTTACTCCACCCACCGACCCTAAACTGGTTCCGAGGTGAGGGGAGCCTGACCAAATTGTTCCATTTTCCCAACAATCCTCCCCTTCAGGGTCTCTCGCCGTACAATCTATGAGTTCAGAATCTTCCACAATGTTCCCTTAGCGAGGGTAAATGACCCTTACATTTACATAACCTATTGTCCATTCAGTATGCCTTAAGGTTTGCAGTTCTGTCCTTTTAACTGTCAGCTGGATGTATGGTTAGTAGTCACCATTGGTGTGATCCTCCATGCAAATCCTGCAGTCATACCAATGGGCAGTTCTGTGCATATTCAGCAGGCTGACATGTTGATCACACGACTCTGGTGCCGTGCCTGCAGCCAGAACAGTACAGGCGAAAAGACAGAAGAGTTATTGGTACCAGTAGGGGAAGTTCTCGCCCCTCTGGTAAAATACATGCCAGTGTGCCATCCTGAGAAAGGATGGTTGCAGGAATAGGTATCTTACCTGGCTTATGATACCATACTTTATCTGCTAACACTGTTGGATCTGTAGGTTCTACATGTAACAGTATAGGGGAACTCATAATTGGCCATAATGATAATACAAATGTGCCCTTTGGAATAGAGCACTCATCTGTTCTAGGCCATGTTACCTTTACTTGAGGAGGCCAGGTAACTGTCACCCAAAGTGAAACTTGCAAGCCTTCCTCTAATCCTTTTCCCCAAGGCCCTATTAAACCTACCCAGCATATATGGGGGGCTTTTATTCTCCAAGGCTATTCCCATTGTACTGTCTGTCCCTGTTTCAAACAGGTTGGGGCTGGTAAGAGAATATTTCCATTTTTACTATATCCTGGCTTCAAAAGTTTATTTTTAGTAGTGATTTGCAGCTGTGTAGGTGCTATAGCCCTATGCAACAGAGCTTCCACTGGAGAGGGTACGCCCTTGTGGGGTCTCATTTAGAATCGTCAGCCATAATTGCCGTGCTCACCCCTTCAGGGATGGGGGTTGGGTAGATAGCCTTAGTCCCTTTTTTAAAAGGCCATTACCGTTCATCACTTTCTATAACTATAGGCCAATCATACATAGCTGTAAGGCTATTCAGTGCCTTCACAGTGTTTACCTGGTCTGGGACCTTACCAAGGCCATACAAACAGAAGACCAGTAGCCATATCAACAGCTGTGAAGATGTATCTGAAATTCTCTGACCTTGACAGTGGTCTGACAAAGTCCACTTGCCATCGAGTCAAGGGCACCCTTCCTCGAGTTATTTGCCCATCTTTATGGGGCACCCGCTGGGGGTGTGGACTCCTTTGAGCACATACTGGACAAACACAACAGGCATTCACTACATTTTCCCATTTTATAGGCAAGGCCCATCTCTGAGCCACCATCCACATGGTTTTACTGCCAGCATGCAACATTCATTGATGTAACCACTGGGCTACATCAGTATCTGGGGCTTTCTCCAGCCATCTTACCTTAGCCAAGGCATCAGCTTCATCATTTCCTGGACTGGCTAAGGGGAAGTGTCCTGTGACATGGAAAAGAGTTACTTCTTTCTCATGCCCCAATTCCCATAACACTTGCCACATGGCTTGTCCCCACAGGGGACGGTGGCCTACCATCCACTGTTGATATTTCCAAGTAGAAATCCAAAGGGTTAAACCTTTGTACACAGCCCAGCTGTCAGTACAGATGGTTAATGGCCTAGGCTCATTTTTTATCGCCATCCATACTGTTCTCAATTCAGCCCAGTGACTGCTTTGCCCTGTACCATTTTCATACCACATGGTATCTGTTTAAGGCTGGACAGCAACAGCTGTCCACGATGCTGAAGGTCCCATGCTAGAGCCATCTGTATACCAAGCTTGCTTTGTGATAGGTCCCTGTCCCTCATGGACAGGTGTAGCCTCCACCTCCATGGGTAATGGTTGTGTCAGAGTTTCCTCCACAACCTCTACTGGGCCTAGCACAGTTTGCAACTCTTTGGACAGAGGACTCGTTGACACAGTGCTCCGTTGTTCTAGATGTGCTCCCCATTTAGACAGAGTGGGAGTCTGAGCTACACCTGTTTTAGGGCTGGTTGCCCATGTGCACAGCCAACCTATTATGGGGTATCCTTACTAGGACTTTGGCAGTTCCTGTGATAGCTTCAATGGCTATCAAGGCAGAATACACAGCTTCTAACTGCTTTTCTATTAGGGTGTAGCGCACTTCAGCATCCTTCCAGAGCTGAGACCAGAATCCTACAGGTGTGCAGAATCGGTCTTGCCTCTGCCACAAACCCCATCCTAACCCCTCCTGGTTTATATGTATGTCTAACTCAAATGGCTTAGTGGGATCAGCCACTTGTAAAGCTTGTACTTGCTATATTGCCCTTTTCGTAGCCTGATAAGCTTGTTCTACTTCCTCATTCCAATCCCAGAGGGCTCCTTTCTTTGTCAGTGCATATAGTGGGAGTGCCATTTGGGCCATATGGGGTACAAAAGCTCTCCAATACCCCAAAAGTCCCAAATATGTCTATAGCTGAACTACCCCTGTGGGTCGAGGGTATGCCTGTATCTTATCTATATTATCTTCTGGGATGACCCTCGTCTTACCCGACGAGACCACTCCCAGGAATTTGACTGACAGTCCAGGTCCTTGCACTTTGGCTGTGTTCACGGCCCACCCACATTGTTCCAAATGGTTCAGCATCATTGGAGCTGCCTGGGTTAAATCTGCAAGAGAATCAGAGGTTAGTAACACATCATCAATTTAGTGAAACATTGTAACTGTGCTGGGCCTAGTCCACTTGGCTAGGTCCCCAGCCACCAAACCATGACAGATGGTTGGGCTATGCAGATAACCTTGGGGCAGTACTTGAAAGATCCACTGTCTTCCTTCCCATGTGAAGGCAAACTGATCTTGGCTATCAGCCGAGATTGAAATGGAGAAAAAAACATTTGCAAGGTCCAGTACATAATGATGTAAGTCCCCAGCTGAGTCATCAGCTGATCCATCAAGTCATGAACTGAAGGCACAGCTGCATGCAAAGGAGGCACTACTTTGTTCAGTTCTCGATAATCTACAGTCATTCTCCAGGTACCATCAGTCTTTCTCACTGGCCATACCGGAGCATTAAATGGGCTCTGAGCCGGACAAATAATGCCAACTTTCTCTAACTCCAATGTAGTGGCACTTATCTCCACATATCCTCCTGGTAGGTGATACTGCTTTACATTAACTACACGTCTTGGCTTGGGTAACACCTGTGATGCTTAGCAAATCCTCGTAACACAGGCTTTACTGTCCATATTCGCAGCTGAAACTCTCCAACTGTTGTTTGCAGGTGCAAACCATAAAGTACATCCATACCCAAGATGTATTCAGCTACAGGGGATATATATATACAGTGTATACATGAGGGGGTAATCTTCCTATGCCCAGTGGCAATGACACGGCTTTGACCTCAACAGTATGTCCTCCATAGCCATCTTTACGAACTGTGGCCCCTGGAAACTTATCTGGATTGCTGTATATCAGGCTACATTCTGCACCTGTATCCTCCAAAGCCAAGACACGCTGCACATTTGTCCTCGACCAGTGTATTGCTAGTTCAACATGAGGCCTCCTGTCCTCACCTGCCCCCAAAAGACAAGCACCTTGGACTGCTCCCTAATCAGAATGGAACAGTTTTGGTTGCTCCTCGGGAGCAACCAAAAAATCCTTTGAATCCACCAAGGGTACCTTGCTACCTGTTTCCCGATGTTTGGTGAAACGCTGTTCAGGGTGCAATTGTTGCCACAAGGCAAACAGAACTGCATTTGGCTGCCGGTCAATTTTCTTTTTATCAACCCCTGCTGCAAGCAAGTCAAGCCACATCTGTTTATGGCTAGTCTTGCTTGATCCCTTTGGGATAAAATCCCAAGCATTTCTTGGGGTTTGGTCTTAGCCACCTTTCAGACCCCTTTTGCTTGTCTGCTATCCTCTACTTCACCCAAGCTGGCTATCATGGTTGTTACCTCATATATAGGACGACCAATGTATGGGGCCAGTATGGCCATCAGTGACCCAAAGGACATTGACGGGGCATTCTGCAGCACTGTGTCATGCTGCCTGTAAAGTTCTCATTGTCGGGGCCATGAGTGTTCACATTAAACATGGACTGCCTCATCCTCAGCTCTTGAATGATTTGGACCAGCTCAGCATACGTTTGCCTTTTACTAACAATCTTGGGCAGTTCTCCAGCATTTGCCCACACAGTTTGGGCAGCTGCATTCACCCAGTCCATCAAGGAGTGATTACCTGGCCTGGGTGCATATCTGCAGCTATTTTGCAGCTGTTGCCTAAGGGACGGGTACGTGGTGATGGAGGCCAGTTTCTCCATCTCCTCACCAGAGCATATCACACTATCCACCCCTAGGTCAACTGCAATAGTCAAGCAGCCAGGGTCTCCCCATGTTTCTGCCTGAATTGTCTCCCCAAGTGAACCAGTTCAACCTGGGTATACAGGACACAGGTAATGAACTGGGTCACCTGTGGATCACCCACTGGTTGTCCGTCTTGTCCCATAGGCTGCTTGTGCCTCAATTTCTCGTGCACAACAGGTTGTGCCTGGTGTGAGTGGCCAGTTGCCACACGTTGTCCTCTGGGACATTTATCCGTGCTTCCAACGACTCTGCTTTCTGCCTTGAATCTGCCAGTAGTTGCACATCATCCACCAACAGCTCTGCTTTCTGCTTCAAATCTTGATCAACTTGCAGCAGAGTGAGCAGCAGCCAGGCTCCAGTCAGCAGAAAAGTGGCCACTGGGCACCACACACTCAAAGACAGCCACATTTCCTCCCCCTCCCAAGGAATTTTCTGCCATAGTACCTGGCCTTTGCTGCCTTGCAGTACAGTGTGCAGCAGCCAGGTCCCGGTCAACAGGAAGGTGGCCATAGGGCACAGCATATTCACAAATAGCCACATTTCCTCCTTCTTCCAAGGGCTTTTAGCTACCGTACCTTCTCAGAGTCCTGTCATAGGCTATACCAAATGTGGTGTAATCCTGCCCGACTACGCCAATTTTTCTGGCTACTGCTAAGTTATGGCTAAGGCCTGGTATCCTCACAGAGCCAATTATCTAGCTCTTAATCGTGTTGGTGATGTCAATTGTAAAGCTAGGCCACCATGCTAGTTGTCGCAGCTCTTTTACCTGCAGGTAATCCTGTACCGACTGAGCTGATGGATGAGCTAGGGCTGGGTCTGGAGCTCCCAGACCCCTCGAGCCCATTCACAGACTGGGTCACAAACCCTTCACATGCCAGGCCGGGTCACCAGACCCCTCCACACCAAGTTGGGTCACCAGACCGCTTCATGCAGGTGTATAAGCTAGGCAACCGGCCACACGGTCCTTGGAAGCTGCAGGTCTGGAAAAACATGACCACACAGGGAGGGCACCCAAAGTAGTAAACACCAGCCAAAGCTGTGCTTCACCCACACATGGTGTTTACTGAATGACCCTGAACCGGCTGTGAGGTGAGGGGAGCCTGACCAAATTGTTCCATTTTCCCAGCAGGCACCATTTTAATCCCCATATCACAGAGTGGAAAACTCAAGCTAGAAGAGGTGGGATGAGTAGCTCCTGGAAGATCAGCTCAAGTGGATTTGAATCCTGGCTGTGCTGTTAGTGGCTATGTGGTCTTGAGCAAATTTTTTAGGGTCTCTGAGCCTGAGTCGCCTCTCCTGTGAATGTGGCCCTGAGAAGAGGTCTGTGAGGGTCCTCTGAGCTGCACATGAACACCAAGAGTTGCATGTGACACATAGCAGCCCACGCTCCACGTGCTGGCTGTTGCTGTTGCAGATGGCGATGATTAAAATCTTATTGTCAGAAGCAATAGCCTTTGCCCTCAGGGGCTTAGACCTCATGCTGTCCTGGTTCATCACAGGCGCTGTTTTGAGTTTACAGAGTTTGGAGAAACCAGATCTGCTTTCTGCAGAGCCGTTGAAATGCTGAGTCATGTTGGATAGCTAGGTAATGAACTCTTTGAAGCCTGGGACTGACTCATGGTGCTCCCAGATAACTATTTTGATTTGATTTAGAATTTATCCTAAATGTGTTTGATTTAGATCTAGGGATACCAGGGACAGTTTGGGGAGATAACATGGGTGCTGAAGAAAACACCATTTTGCTTTACCAGTTAGGTGAGGATAATGCCTTAGGCAGAGGGAAGTCCTGTGTCACTGGAGAAATAACTCATGATTCACATTGATGGGGGGTATGTCTAATGCCAGCCTGAGTTACTAGGAAGGGACAGGGCACAGGATAGTAAATCAGGGCCAAAGGAATGTAGATATGGAGAGACGACCAGTGGATGCAAAATAATTGGGGGATAAAAACTGTTAAAGTTAGCAAAGTAAATGTGACCTTGAGCAGGAGAAAAAGTGAAGGTTGGCTTCCAGAAATGAGCAAATGATAAAGATGAAAGAAATCATTCAGCGCATGAATTGTATCAGGAGAAAATGACTGTTGTTACATTGCATCAGAACTCTGAAGCTTGGACCTTGGTTTGTTACTGAAACTCGATTTTCCCCTCCCCTAAATTTAGGAAGTTTAGCTTTATCTTAATTTTGAAAATAAAAGAACAGTGAGTTCTCACGTGGGTGTAACACTGATCTCTTTTTGTCTCTAACAGGGGAATTTCAGAGTGCCTGCCTCGATTGACGTGCATGATTAGGGGCATCGGGGACCCACTGGTTTCGGTGTACGCCCGAGCCTACCTGTGCCGGGTAGGTCTTGCTTGAGTCACGTCATGCACAGATGTGGCTGCCTCCTGTCTCCTTAAGGTCACCTAGTGCTTCTCCCTCCCCATCCCCTCACAAGGCATTGAAAGGAGGACTTTATTAGCTGCTAATTTTAGAACACGGCTCTTCAACAGAAAGTAGAGCTGTAGGATTTTCTTTTAAAAATTAATTTTAAAGTAGACCAACTTGACTGTAACTCTAATTAGGGGGCATTTAAGGTCATCTTCTTGCAAGTGAACTGGTTTTCAGAATTAATTGTCTCTCAGTTCTTGCTGGGAAGGAGGCTCCCAAGACTTTTCAGATGATAGGTTGCCTTTCATTGACTTGAGACATGCTTTCCTTTTGTCTTGAATTTGATTGTTTTATTAGTTTTTTGTCCTCCTATCAAAGAGTTGGCTCAGAGTGTGAGTTGGTGAGGGCCCTGTGTCCCATGCAAGGGCAGGCCTCAGGGTCTGGCTGCAGAGTCCGTAGCCTGGCCTGGGAGTGCTGCAGGCCTGACCTAGGCAGCTGCTCTGATGGGTGTTGCAGGGGAGTTGCTGATTGTAAATCCCTTGGCCTTTCTCTTCTGTAGAGCATCATGAGGCTTCAACTTAAAACTGTTCAGGTTTTTGTTTATGAAAAATAAAACCCATGGGCCGGCCCGGTGGCGCACTGGATAGTGCGCCGCTTGGGAGGCACGGCGGCGCTCCCGCCCAAGGGTTCGGATCCCACATGCAGACCGGTTCCCGCTCGCTGGCTGAGCGAGGCGCAGGAGCAATGCCGAGGGTTGCAATCCCGTTGCTGGTCCCCGGTCCGGTGCGGGGGCAACACTGAGGGTTGCGATCCGTTGCCGGACACGGAAAAAGACAAAAAGACAAAAAAAAAAAAAAAGAAAAAGAAAACCCATGGAGAGTATACGGTCATTTTTCTTCAGCCCACCGGGGGATTTGCCTCTGCCAGGGCTTCTCTAGCAGTGTGCATCTTGCCTGCTTGTCCCACCAGCATTGTGTACCTTTAGAGAGGGCTTGTTGTCCCTGATGAGCCCCAGACTTCCTTGAGGACAAAGCTACCCCTCTGAGTGGTTATGCATGTTATTAAATCAGAAGGTGAGAACACGTAGCCTGGGATTTGTATCTTCTACATGAGATGTAGCAAATAGCAGAAGCCCTGTGGTCTGAAGTATCAGAAAAAATTCAAACAGCCCTGTAGAGCTAGGGCTGGGTCTGGAGCTCACAGACCCCTCAAGCCTGTTGTCCAGACTGGGCCACAAACCCTTCACATGCAGGTCTCCGAGCTAGGTGACTGGAAGAAAGGTCCTTGGAGCCTTGGTTGAAGAAAGAGTAGTCTTTATTTCTGCACACACACATCTCAGAGCTAGGCAGTTCAAAGAGAAACTCAGCTGCTACTGGCAAAGTCTGAAGAAAAACTGAGCAGCTGCCAGCAAAGTAAACATGCTCTCTTTTTAGACGTGAGCTCTCTGCCAGCCAGCAGTTCAGGGCTGCTGCTCCACACACTCTCTAACACACAATAGCAACAAAACTAAAAAGATACATTGGTGCGCATGCACACTAACTCCACCCACCCACACAATTTGTTTACAAAGAATGTGCTGCACCACACCCAACCAGACCTAAGGTGAGGGGGGCCTGACTAAACTATTCTGTTTTCCCAACAAGCCCCTGCCCTCAGAATGAACTGTAGACATCCATTATGAAGGACACTTTTTAAAGGTCTGCTTCTTGGGCCGGCCCCGTGGCTCACTCGGGAGAGTGCGGCGCTGGGAATGCAGCGGTGCTCCTGCCGTGGGTTCGGATCCTATATAGGGACGGCCGGTGCACTCACTGGCTGAGCGCGGTGCGGGTGACACCACGCCAAGGGTTGCGATCCCCTTACCAGTCACAAAAAAACCAAAAAGCAAACAAAAAAAATAAAATAAAGGTCTGCTTCTTGATACAGAGAATGAAAGAAAAGTCTGTTTAAGGGTACCAGACTCCCCTCTTGTAGCAGAGGCCAGAGTGTGTATGCATCGCCCCTGCTTGAAACTTGGGGTGGATTCTTCATCCAGGAATATCAGCTGTGTTTCTAAGAGCTTCAACTTTTGAATGCATTGACACTCGAATACTCTTCGTAAGTCAGTGTTTGCTGAGAGCTTGGTGAACGAAACACTCTGCTGGATTGTATGGGAAAGATGAGAAGATGTGATTGTTGGCATATTTGGAGTCTGCTCCCTTTTGCCTCGAAGAACATCATAAATTCTCTGAACTCACCTTGACATCAGTTGGATAATAGGATAATAAAGACTGGAATCATACTTAGGATGATGATTCTGGTTACTAAAGAGAAATCAGTTGTGCATGAGCCAGGGAAAAGGTAATGTTTGTTGCATATAAAGTGCCCATGAATGGCACATGCAACTTGAAATGACAGTGGCAATGAGGAGAAGATGCAGAGGACAAAGCAGACCCATCTGAGAAAGACTAGTAATGGAATACGTTCATCTGGTGATGTCATTTTTGTCAATCCAGGCAGTGCATCAGCTCCCCTGGGTGGACAGTTACTAAAAGTCTTTTGACATAAAAAGAATGAGAGACAGCCTGTGCATTCATTAGTAAGGATTCTTTCAGTTGTAAGTGGCAAAAACCCAATTGATACTACTTAAAGCAAAAAGGGGGATGTATTAGCTTGTGTATCTGAAGAGTCCAGGGATAGTGCAGGCAGGGCTAGATCCAGGGCCTCAAGGAGGACTGTCAGCAGTCATTCTCTCCCTCCATCGCTCAGCCCTGCTTTCCTCTGGGTTGGCCTCATTCTGCTCTTTCCATATGGTGGCCCATATCAACTAAAGGCTTCTGTCCTACCAACTGAGGAACCCCATTGGAAAGAGAGTGCCTTTTCCCCAGAAGATCCAGCCAGAATCTTAGGGCCAGTTCTCAACAGACCACCCTGGGTCACTTCCCATCTCTAGAACAGTGGCTGTGGCCATGAGATGGGATGTGCTTACCCACCAGGCCTGGGACATGTGCTCATTCCCTGGAACTCAGGGTGAGGTGGGCCCACCTCCACCACAAACCTCATGGTCTAAGAGGAAGTTTTGATTCCCAAAAGACAAATTCAATTTCCTCCGACCAGATACAGAGGGAGTGGATACCAGGCAGGCAGAAACAGCAGATGGAAATCATGAGCAACTTACCCTTGCTGCTCTGGCAGAAATCTTTAGACCCAAGCTGATTTCCAAGCTGCTCTTTTGGCTTGATGAGAAGAGATAAACAAAACACAAAAGCAGCGAGTGGGCAGAGTGTGGGGGGAGCTTGAAGCTGTTTATTAAAGGAAAGTATGATTAACTCCTCTTTGAAGTCACAGCCCCTTCAGCATGTCTCCATTGCTTGTGCACCGGGCCAGCCTCTGCTGTCGCCTAACAGATAATTATTGCCTTTTCTATGATATGATTAAGTGGAAGGAAAGACAGTAGAATCAGAACACAGTAGAACTGGATCTGATGTTTGTTGTTAGTTTTTGTTTTTGTTTTTTTTTTAATCTATGTGTTTGTTCTTGGAAGCATCACTTCTTGGACCAAGATCCTTAGAACTGCTCTTGAAATTTTACACCCTGTTGGTTCTCGAATAATTTTTCCCAAAGGAATTGATCACCACCATCTGAATAAAATCATTATTGTTAACTGTCCTGATCTCTGGGTAGGGGGAGGTGAGTGGGAGAAATCTGTCCACATTCGAAGAAACTGCGTCCCAAGAGAGCAACTTTCCTTATGAAGTTGCTCTTATGGTTAAGCAGCAATTTGGAATTAAGGCATATCTGAGGAGCTCAGTTTAAGGAATATTATGATGTTTTGTTTTCAACACGTGAGCTCCTCTCCATGGCTCTTACCCTCACTTTTCCATCCAGCTCCTTCTCTGGCCACCTTCTCTGTGATTAGCAAATTTAGCTAGGAGTGTTACTATCTGTTTTTTAAACAATGAACTCAGGAGCCCCAATGGATTACAGCATTGCTATGCCTCTTGCTATCTTATATAAAATTGCTTAAAATATATTAAAATTTACATCTGTTTCCATGACTGTCTTAGCAAAGAATGAACCATGTAGCTTTTAACAATGCAGCAGTGGCCACGCAACCTCTAAAAATCAAGCTGACTCTTACATGTTGTAATCTTTTTGCTTTATTTGATAAGTACAACCACATGTGTGTTTATCATTTTTTTGAGAGGAAGAGAATATTGTATATACATAATCTTGAGAATACATTCCTCCTTAGTGCTGTATTGATTTATTCGCTTGGTCATCTCTTCAGAAATACATCCATTATCTTTGGGAAATTGCAAAGAGGATTATTGCAAATGTTGCCTGTTTTTCATTAAAAATAGCTGCTTTATATGTGTGTGTGTGTGTGTGTGTGTGTATATATTCAATACATGTTTTTTTGAATAAGAAAACAAATAAGCAAAAATAATAAAAGTTAACTTTCCAGGTTTTTCTTCTATGTCTGTACATAGGTGTATATATATTTTTTAATTGACCAAAATGGCATCCTACTGTACATATTATTTGCAACCCAGTTTTCCATTGTCAAGGTAATATTTTGTTTGGCTGCAGGTGGGAATGGAAGTGGCTCCACATCTCAAAGAAAGCCTAAATAAGAACTTTTTTGACTTTCTCCTTACTTTCAAACAGGTAAGAGAACACCATCAGAACAGCTAATTGGGGCCAGCCTGGTGGCACACTGGAGAGTGCGCCGCTTGGGAGCGCAGTGGTGCTCCCGCCGAGGGTTCGGATCCCATGTGGAGACCGTTTCCCGCTCACTGGTTGAGCGTGGTGCGGGCGCGACACCGAGGGTTGCGATCCTATTGCCGGTCCCCAGTACGGGCGCGACACCGAGGGTTGCGATCCCGTTACTGGTCAGTAAAAAAGACAAAAAGGAAAAAAAAAATAAGAACAGCTAATTGATATAACAGTTATATGATAGCGAGTTCACAAAACCCAGTTGGTTTTCCAAGCTGGAAATGCGTTAAAGCTCTGTAAATGTGCAAATTCTGGAAAATTACACTAGCGGCTGTTGGAGAAAATTAAAATGTGTTGATTGTACTGAACAAGCAAGAGAATTAATATGCATGTGTTAACAGAAATGTGTCCAGTTGATCACTCTTTCTTAGTGTCTGCTGGCTCCATTTTTATCAGGTTTCTTCTTTCCACAGTGCACATTCTCAAACCAGCTCCGCTTGGTGACATGGGAAACTTTGTGTGTTTTTTCTAGTTTAAAAAAACAACTGAGAAACCAGGCTGTTGCTCTTGGGGCTGTCCACATACTTACAAGTGTGCCCAATCAGTAAGTTACACACTCTTTGTTGTATGATTTCCCCCCTCCTTTTCTAAGTGTTTATTTGGTCTCCTGTAGATTCATGGGGATATGGTCCAGAACCAGCTAGTGGTCCAGGGAGTGGAGCTCTCATCCTACCTGCCCTTGTACTCGCCTGCCATGGACTGGATCTTCCAGTGCATTTCCTACCACGCGCCCGAGGTAACTGCCAGGTAGCTTCAGTGGAAGGTCACCTCCAAGGATGAACATTAGGGATCCTCTCCTCCTTCTTGTGAAGACCCTTGCACTGTGTGCCCTGTGATGTTAACAGAATGACCACAGCATTGTCAGCCCCAGCCTGCCTTTATGGAGGGCTCACCATTGTGTCTGGTTCTGTGCTAAGCCTTGTCCCTAGATTGTCTCGGTTAGTAACTCTGGGAGGGGGATGTGGCCACTCAGAGAGGCCGAATACCTACATAAGATCACACAGCCAGACAGTGGTGGGAACTGGACACAAACCCTGGAATCTGCCTCCAGGGCCAACAAGGTTTATTGCCTCTTGAGTTACCTTAATGTGCCCTTTTAATGCAATAAATAATGCAATAATGGTGCAATAAAGTCAGTACGTAAGGTAATATTTTCTCCATTTACAGAAGGAAAGTAAAACTCAGACACTTAATTGGTTTTATAAGATTCCTTTTTTTTCCTTTGTTCCTTTTTTCTTTTCTTTTTCTTTTTTCTTGCTAATTGAAATATTGTCAGGAATTAAAGTGACGTCAGAATCGTAGCAGAAATATTATTTTTTTCTTCCCTGGTATGGAGAGGCAGTTTCAGTAGAACACCAGTTGAAATTGTCATAACTGTGATAGATGAAGCTTTCATTGTGTTCCCTTTGGTGGTTGGGAATTCTGCAGGAAAAAAGGGAAGGAGGACTTGCTACAAACAAGCATACACAGAGCAAAGCAAAACTCAAAGCCATCTGCCTTTTCCTAGACGCTGCCAACACATACTGCAAACCCCAGACGGAGAAAAAAAGGACATGGCTGAATAAACAATCCCTCTTTTAAGAATTTATTCTGTAGAAATAATTAGATGAGTATATAAACATTTAACTTATACACACACACCGATTTGCTCATGGTGGTGCAAAATCAAAGGCAACCATCAGGGGATCGATTGGTTAAGGTATGGTATATACATTCAGTGGAATGTTATGGGCCATTTAAAATGATGGAGACCCATGAAGATCTGTATGTACTGACATCACAGTGTTCATAATGTATTGCAGAGTGGAAAAAGGCAGTTATACACATTGCTAGGTGTGTTGTAAGTGGCAGTGTGGCCTGGTGTTCGGGTGTGGGCTCTGGAGTCTCAGGGTGCCTGGGTTTCCGTTACAGCTCTGTTACAGCTCTTGTGATAAAGTAGTGGCCAAGTAACTTGTTCCTAAGCACTCTGAGGCTTCTTTCTTCATCTGTAAAATGGGACCAATAATAATCACTCCTGTTTTCTAGTCTGTTGCATAGATCAAACAAGACAATGCATTTGTGGTGCTCAGCATAGTACCCCATGCCTAGTACTTACAAACATGATTTTTATATCTGCACGAGAGATTTGGGAGGGAGATATGACCATATATCACTGGAGGGGGAGATTTTGGATCTTCTTAACTTATTTTTCTTTGCACATCTGTGTTTTCTAACTTTTCAATGAATATGCACTGCTTATATTTTTATTTTTTCAAATTCTAAAGTATGAGGAGAAAAACAGGGACATCTTATATTTCAGGTGAATTTTCTTACCATTAATTAAATTGATTTTAAAGAAAGTCAGTATAAAGGAAAGATTGTTTAAAAATTTGCTGCCCTTTCTCTATGATCCTCAGCATAGTTTAAGAAACCACATGCTGGCCCTCCTTTTCCCCAGGGAAGAGGTACCATGAACTTGACTGTAGAAAGCAAGCTGCCCTAGCTGTTCCACTGAGTGACTGAAACATACAAGCAGGACTGACGTGTTGAAAATGAGAACGCTTATTTTTTCTCCTTATTTTAATGAAAGGCAAAATCAGATTTAAAACAAAAGGTACGTGTCATAAGGCATTGTTCTTTTTATTTTAAGCTCCAGTAATCTCAAAGGATGGCAGAAGCTGAGAATAGAGCTTTCCTGGGGAGTAAAGCTCTAGGAAATCATTATTGCACTAGACTAAGTGATTAAAAAATCAGGTCACCTGAATAATAATAAACCGATTCTTGGGGCACTTAAATAAGGGACTTTCAGTGTCTTGTTAAAAAAATTCTGTCATTTTCAAGATGCAGAAGAATTGACACCGGTATGGAAGGTGGTGTTGAAGATGTGTGTAACAATTTGACACCTAAAAGCTCTTTGTCAGTGGCTGGATACACACGAGTAGAGCCGTGTATATTTTTAAGAGGCCACACCTCCAAAGTAGTAGATTGTAAAGTCTAGCAGAAGCAGTTGGTAATATACAGGGCAGGCAGGAGAGAGAGGAAGAGGAAAAACACCTTTGGTTGTGAATATCTGATATACAAAATTACAAATTGAAATTGAAAATTTAAAAAAAAATTGGAGTATGTATTAATCTATTCATATTGCTGTAACAAAGTGCCACAGACTGAGTAGCTTATAAACAACAGAAGTTTATTTCTTACAGTTCTGGAAGTTGTTAGTGCAAGATCAGGGTGCCAGCAGAGTTGGTGTCTGATACAGGCCCTCTTCTCTCTGCATCCTCACATGATGGAAAGACAGCTAGCCAGCTTTCTGGCTTCTTCTAAGGATACTGATCTCATTTGTGAGGGCTCCTCCACTTTCATGACCTAGTTACGATACCTCCCAAAGGTGTCAGCTTGTAATGTCATCACACTGGGCATTTGAATTTTGAGGGGTTACCAACATTCAGTCCATAACTGGAAGTCATTATTCAAAAAGGCCTTTTTATTATTTGAAGACAGGAATTTTTTCCCTCATACAATTAAAATAAAATTATAATAGGCAAAAATGGATTTTTGCACCCGATTTCAGGCACATTCTGTACAGAAAAAAGCAACCATTTCATAAAACCTGCTTTTAGGCAGTAGAAACAGATCCCTTGAAAAGCTCCTCATTGTTGTCACCCAATAGCTATTTGTTGGTGGTGAGGTGTAGAGGAAAAAAAGCCTGACCCCTGACATCAGGGTGTGGAAGGTGTGGAATCCTGTGACCCCTAGCTGAGCTGTCAGTAGAGGATGGGCCAGGCAGCTGGGCAGACCTGGGTTCAAACAATGGCTGTGTCGCCTTAGGCTACTTTAGTTCCCTTTGCCTCAGTTTTGCCAACTATAAAATGGGTCTAATAATAGAACATTCCTCTAAGAGCTGTTTTGATGGTGACTGTGATAATGCACATCAGAGCGTAGCCAGGGCCTAGCATGGTGTAGGCACCAGCTATATGGGGTGGCATTATAGTTATATGTCACTTGGGGGAAGCTGGGTGGTGGGTACCAGGACCTCTCTCTACTATTTTTGCAGTTGCTTATATGTCTATAATTAGTTCAATATAAAAACGTTTAAAACAATCCATCAGTTAAGGGCAGTTCGAAAAATGATGTTATATCCATGGTGTGAATTCTTCAGTCATTAAAAGGAGTGAGGTAGGTTTGTGTGTACTAACATGGGAGGAGAGAGGGCTATCCTAGATTCTTGAGTAAAAAAGGCAAGGTGCATCTTAATATGTACAAGATTATCCTATTTTTGTAAAATTAAAATACCCCCCCCAGGCTTTTTCAATAACAATTATATATTCAGAGGTCGTAGGCAAAGTTCTAGAAAGATAAACACCAAACTGTTGACAGTGCTGATTACATCTTTCTTGATGCATGTCAATATTGTTTGAACTTTTGTACATAACTATTTCTTATTTTTATAATTTTGATAAAAACAGTGAAATGTTATATAAATAAATGATATGTCAGGACAACAACAACAATAACAAAAGCCTAACACAAAGATAAGTGCCCTAAATAAATGCCTGCCTTATGTATCTTCAAGGTTTTCATTGGTTTGTCCCAGCCAAAAAGACTTGTTTCAGTCTCAGTCTGCTTTGAACTGTTGTTCATCTTGTTCTTGCCAAAGACAATCAATCCTGTCACTTCTCAGAAAAAAAAAAAAAATTAATAACCTCTAACAATTCTGCTGGGATCTATAACATTTGGCTCCTTGGACACTTGTGGGTATCCCTATATGACGACAGAGCCCTTTTATTTTTTTAAAGTTATGTTCTTGGATGTGTTTGTAATGCACTCATCTTTTGTGAAAAAGAGAACTTTTTAAGCATTTGTCTCATCTTAATGGCCAGAATCTTTTGTCCATATGTTGGCATTTGTCCTAGTTCATGTTTTTGGAAATGGTAGGCCAAGATACCTATTTGTGAGTGTGTATGTGTGCACACACGTATGTATATGAGAGAGAGGATAAGCCTCATGAGGGCACGGGTTTCTGTCCATTTTCCTCACGATCCAATCTCCAGTTCCTAGAATAGAGACTAGTCTATTGAAGTTGCTCCTTAGGTAGGTGCAGAATGATTATTTGTGCATTTTGGGAAGTATCAGTGTGATAATTATACAGCATATCTCATTTCCTTTCCCAGCCTTTCCCAGAAACCACTTTGGTATTGGTCTTCAAGAATGACTGTTAGGTGTAAATACCTTATGAGTGGGTTGGGGAAGCTATTTGTGGTATCATCAATTTTATCATCAGCTAGGATGTTTCTGGCTGCAAGGAACTAACACCTACCTAGCCCAGCCTGCAGTATAATTCTGTGTCCTCTCCCATACCAAGGCCAGGCCCTGGACCAGGCTGTTCCAGTCCATCTTTCTGCTCTGCCATCCCTAGCTAGTAGCAACGTGGCTGCAGCTGCTCCAGACATCACATCCAGATGTGACAGCAGCCAAAGGCAGAAAGAGTGGAAGTCCTCAATTCCTTGGGTTCCTGTTTATCAGTGGAGAAAGCTTTCCTCAAAGTCCCTGGAAGATTTCCTATCCCGTCTCAGTAGCCAGAAATGGGTCAAGTACCCATCTCAAAACCCACCACAGGCAAGGGGCATGAGACTACCATGAGTGGTTTGGACCTATATTAGTCTGCTCAGGCTCCCATAACAAAGTACCACCCATACTTAAATGACAGACATTTATTTCTCACAGTTCTGGAGGCTGGAAGTCCAGGATCAAGGTGATGGCAAAGTTTGGTTCCTGGTGAGGCCTCTCTCCTTGGCTGTGTCCTCACATGGCCTTTCCTCTGTGCAGGGGCATCCCTGCTGTCTCTTCCTCTTTTTATAAGGACACCAGTCCTGTTGGATTAGGACCCCACCCTTATGACCTCATTTAACCTTCATACCAGCTTTAAAGGCCCTATCTCCATGTACAGTCATGCTGAGGGTTAAGGCTTCAACTTTCGAATTTGGGGGGAATTTAATTCAGTCCCTAACAGGAGCCAGCCTGATTGATGTGGGTCAGAGACAGAAATCTGGATGCAACCAGGGTTCTGGGGTGGGGATACCAACAGTATCTCCACAGTCAGCTGTCACTTTAATTATTCAGGCAACAACCTACACACAGAGGGACATGGCTGGAAAGGGTGGAACTGCAGTAAAGAAGGCTCATGTTTTATATGTTGACTTGGAGGCCAGACTTGGATACAAAACTCATTTCTACCACTTATGGAGAAGTGGCTTAACCTTTCTGAACTTTGGTTTCCTCATCTGTAAAATGGGGATAATATTACCCAGGTATCAAGACCGTTGTGAAGAGTTTGTGAGAAAAGAGAAGTAACACACTCTTAGTCTGGCACCTGGGGCATGGTCAGCACTCAGTGTCATAGCTGCTCTCCTCTTATTAGCTCTTTTGTCTCAGGGTTGACCTTGTCTGTGCCATTCAATACCTTCCCCAAACCACTGCCCTAAAGGATACTTCTTCCATTGATTTTTTAAAAATAGGAGCTCTTTTAAAGCTATGTAATTGCCTTAAGATAGCTCCAAAACCATTAACAGTATTCCAATGAGCAAAACACCTCCTTCCTTTGGGGAAAAAATATGCTTCAAAATGGATGGAGAAGAAACGTGGTGAAGAGCATGGTCTTCGACGCCAGTCTGCTCGTGTTCCTGTCTCGCTGGGTCTCTCGCTGTGTGAACTTGGGCAGACCACGTTGCTGTTGCGTGGCTCAGTTTCTCATCTGTGAAATGGGAGGATAGAGCACCTTGCTCGTGGGTGGTTAGGAGAGAGAGGCGAGACCATGAGTGCCGAGTGCCTCACAACAGGACCAGCAGGCACTGAGCTCAGGCCCAGTGTGTGCTGCTTGTGTCACCAAGCGCACACCTCTTGCAGAGGGGAAGACCATGGAGTTGGGGGAGAGGTGGGGAGTAAAGTGCTTCCCATTCTCGCTTGTCCCCTGGGGTGCAGGAGGTGCCTGTCTCACCGTCCTGTAGTGACCTTACAGCATGAAGTGACGGGGTGATGCTACTTTTATCCTCTATCTGAGGACAAGCAGACCCGAGCTTGGCAAAGTTGGTGACTGGCCCAAAGACTCGCCAAGAGTAGTTGGTGAGGCTGGATTTGAACCAAAGTGTGCCCGACCCCAGGACCTCAGCTTATATACATTACACTAAATGCCACAAAAGTGGATTTTTTCCTCCCCCACCCTCCCCATCCCTACCAGGCACTGCAAATTATGTAAATGGACATGTGAATTCATTTAATTTAGAGTATTACTGTTTTAGAAATGTTGCTTTAGATCCTTCAACCTGATTTCTTTGAAATTATTTTTAACTTATTAGGCTCTGCTGACTGAGATGATGGAGAGATGTAAGAAACTAGGAAACAAGTAAGTATTTTAAGACTCATAAAGCATGAGTTTGAAAATAGAGTCTGCTGCTTTTTTTTTTTTTTTTTTTTTTTTTTTTTTTTTTTTGAGCTTGGCATGCTTATGTGGACGAGAGAGCTGAAAGGCAGAGTAGATAGCGTGGAGGTTTGGAATGCCAGAGTTAAACTGCCTGGCCTCAGATCTTGGCTCTATTCTGTCTTAGCTTTATGACCCTGGGCCATTTTCTTGACCTCTGTGCCTCAGTCTCCTCATCTGTAAAATGGGGGTAATAATAGTCCTTCCCCCATGGATGAACTTGATCGTCTCATCCCCTCTGCTCTTCTTTTGGTGGCAGATGTGTAAGCAGCCTTGAGTGGGTTTTGTTCACCACTGTGTCCCTAGTGCATAGAACAGTGCTTTTCATAAGAGATGTGGATATACGAGGTACTTCAAAAAGTTCATGGGAAGATGTGTATTTTAATTTTCTCCATGAACTTTTTGAGGTACCCTCACAGCATAGGGATCAATATTCTTACTTAACGTTTAGTTTTATTAGGGCACCCGCCTGTTGAAATCTCACTCTTCTGTTTAAATGGATTGGATCAAGACTGCAGTGGTGCGTCAGACTTGCAGAAGGAAAGAACATACCTAGGGATACAAAATGGAGTGGGGAAACGGGGATAGGGAGGGAGGTTGGGAATAATTGGGGGGATAATTAGGTAGGGGACACGAGGTATAATCACAATTTGTGGTAATGGGCATGCTACCAGTATTACATCTTAGGCATAAGTGGTGACAATTTGTACCCCATGAATATTCATAACCAATTAAAAAAATGTATCTAATAGGGGAATTAAAAATAATAAAATAGCAAAAAATAAAAAAAGAAAAATGGATTGGATTGCTTCCTGGTTTACCTTTTCATTCACCACCCACGCATCCACCTACCAACCCATCTACCTACCCATCCATCCACCCACCTATCTACCCATCCATCTGTCTACCTACTCATCCACTTTCTCATCCACCCACCCAGTTAATTCAGTATTTATCAAGTTCCAAATGTGTATGTAACACTGTGTTAGTCTCTGGAGGTTACCTTTTTACGCCAGTCTTTTTTCACCCTTACCACTAAAAGACTATCAGTCCATCCCAGCAATATACATCCTAAAATTAAAGCAACTTCCATAAAGAGGAAGCTAGTTGACTTGGGGCATTCATGTCTTGTAGTGCCTTGCTGTTGAATTCTGTGATGTCAGCCTTTCGGGCCGAGTTCATTGCCACAAGGTCTATGGATTTCATTGGCATGATTAAAGAGTGCGATGAGTCTGGTTTCCCCAAGGTAAGCTTTTGATTTCATGCTCAGTGGGACAGTGAACAAGCACTGTCCCATCTGATAGCTCTCAAGGGAGGGCATCCAGTTTTGGGGGTAGTGTGGCCAACAGGAGAACAAGGGAACGCTCTGTTTCTGAAGAACGCCATGGAAGATGAGTTAGAGATAGGGATTGTTAGACACTGTGTAATTGCTGTGAGAGAGGCCGCTGTGAGGTCCAAATCCATCAAATTAGCTCACCAGGAGTATCTAAAAAAGACTTTGGTCTTACACCTTCACTCACTCTTTATGAAAAACTTTGTCCACTGGAATATTATGACCGACAAACTAGTCCAGTACATGGAGCCAACTCTTTATTTTGAGATTCTCAGTGTAACTCGGGTAGATTTTCCAGAAGAGGTGGCTAGAAGACTAACCCTGAGCTGGATTAAATACATTTTTTTTCTTTCTTTTTTTTTTTTAAGCCTCAACTTACTTTGATTTAAAATCTCCAATAACATAATGGTTTATATTTTTCTTAGCATCTCCTTTTTCGCTCACTGGGGTTAAACTTGGCCTTGGCTGATCCTCCTGAGAGTGATCGACTGCAGATTCTCAATGAAGCTTGGAAAGTTATCACTAAATTGAAGAATCCACAGGTGGGTGACCATTTAGACCTTAGATGGACTGCTTGTTGTCCAAATTATGCAGTATACTCTTTCTTTAAAGAAAAAAAATCTTTTAACTAATCATACTTCTGTTTTTTTTTTTTAAAGAAATCTTTTAATTATATTATTTGTTAATCTATAATGGTGAACCGATACCAAAGATGTATTTCTGTTTTTTGTATTCCAATTATGTCTCATTCTTGAGGCCTTAAGGTACGCTTAAAGTATAAAATTACAAATATTTGAAACTTTAAAAGACCTATGACTGTGCAAAGAACATACAAAATGCAACTGTCTATAGTATCTTGATTTGAAAGTACCAACTTAGTAGGATGTCCCTAAATTGGAGATCAGCAGTCGAGCCAGTAATTAGCAAAATGGAATTCCAATTTCTGGCCCTAAGCTGAAGCCTCCTTCTCTCTATACTCCAGGTGTTGGAAGTGTTGGAATGATAGACCAGCTGACCTTACTGTAATGCATGTAGTGATGGCCATCAAATTCCAGATGTGGGTATCATGTCTACCCATTCTTTTAGGCAACATGTCAGTAATTGCTGTAGCTGCCAATAGGGAAAAAAGGTACTGGTTGTCTTCGCGGCTGCAGGAACAACTGGACAAACTTCATCGCACCCTGCACTGTCCCTCTCCTGCTGGCAGCGAACGACTGAATATGGATATGTAGCATTGGAGACAGTCACTTATCAAGAAGGAAAGAGTAAAGTGGGCACAGATTTAAACCCCTTGTTAGTCGCCACGTTTACAGTCGTAGTGCACTAATAATAGTGATATAACTTAGAAAAACTAGAAACTTATTTACAAAATTATATACCTGTGGGTAGTTTAGCAAAATCATTAAACTTCAGCTGTTAAATTCTCTGTCTAACTTGGATTGGCCAACTAAAACAGCTTATTTAGGAGTTTAGGAGATCTATTGTACAGCATGGTGATGGTGGTTAATGCATTGCGTACTTAAAAATTGCTAACAGAGTAGATTTTAGGTATTCTCGCCACAAAAAATTAAGTATGTGAGGTAATACATATGTTAATTAGCTTGATTTAGCCATTCTGCAATGTATACATATTTTAAAACATGATGTTGTTTGCCATAAATATGTATAATCTTTATTGGTCAAAAAAGAAACCCAGCTTCTTCAGGATCTTTAAGTGAAAAGCCTCTGGGCCGGTGGTGCCTGTACTTCGTGCTTCCAAGCAGCTTTGCTCCAAAAGGCAGTAATTCGGGCCGGCCCGGTGGTGCACTGCTACAGTGCGCCGCTTGGGAAGTGCGGCGGCGCTCCCGCCAAGGGTTCGGATCCCACATATAGACCGGCTGCTCATTGGCTGAGCGAGGAGCAGGGGCAACACCGAGGGTTGCGATCCCGTTGCCGGTCCCGGTCCAGTACGGGCGCGACACTGAGGGTTGCAATCTGTTGCCGGTCATGAAAAAAAGACAAAAAGACAAAAAAAAAAAGCAAAAGGCAGTAATTCGTGGTTTTCTCCAATCTTTTTAAGTTTACCTTCTTAGAATTCCAATTAGATCTTGGATGTTCCTGGCTTTTCCTGTGTTAATGGAACTACTATTTTCTTCTCTCCATATTTCTTCTTTCTTTTCCTGAAAATGTTAGAACAGAAGAGGTATACTTGCTGGCTACATTTTTCCTTGACCTCTATTTTCCCAGTTGGGTGTTTTCCTGGGCAGGCAGACTGGCTCTGGTGGTCACTGTCATTTCCATAGCTGTCCCATCATCTATGCGTGGGGCCCCCTCCTACTTGAATCTAACACATAACTTCTTACTTAATATCTTTAATGCTTTCCTAACCTTTTTACAACATCTACATCACTCTCTGCAGGACAAGTGGTTTATTTTTTAAAGGCAGCAAGCCAGTTTTTTCTCAGAACTTGCAAAAATCACGTTTTAAGCAAAGTTTGAGTCTTCAGTCAGATCTCCCATCATTTCCTCTACTGAGGTGTGGTGTGGGCTCCCACTGTTATCTACAAAGTACTGTCCTTTAATTTTTTAAATTCTCTAAGCATGGTGGAACTTCACAGATTTCCATCTTGGCCCAAGGAGCAATTCTGGAATGAGAGCCTAATTAGTTTCAGGCAACTTAAATTGTTCTGTAAGTTGCTTCTTATGGTGAAATATATCAGTGGCCCAAAATTTTCTGTAGATGAACCACTTTTGTAATTCTTGTCCCTTGTCATTTAATTGTCAAAGCCCTTGAAGGGATTTGTACATGATGAACTTTTGCCATACAATAAACTGTATTATGCTTATTGTAAAAACATTTTTACTTTTTCTTTGTAGGACTACATTAATTGTGCTGAAGTGTGGGTAGAATACACCTGCAAGCATTTCACGGTATGTGGGGCTGTGGGGTTGCTTTTGAAAGAATTGTATTTTTCCCATGTGTATAATAGTGAGTGAATCTAGTTTAGGCATTTTACAATGGCAATTGTTCTTATAATTTATAAAAATTACATTCTTTTTAATAAAGTGTGATGGAGTATTAATGTGTATAATACTACAGAAGTGTTCTATGCTCCCAAATTTCCACGTAGATTTGGGAAATGGTGCATTAGACAAAGTTAAACAGATTTTTTCACCATATGATGCCTTAGAAGCTTATATGCTGAAGTGCGTTGTAGCTTTCCATGGGGGTCTAGTAACAAGCATTTCCTAAACATATTTGACTTGCATGTAATTTTTTTCTTAAGCATTTAGGAACATTTCCTTCCCTAGGCACAGACTAGAACCACAATTTGGTGAATATGGGGCTTGTCAAAGAGCAGAGACTTTAGACTGGGTTCAGATCCTGTTGCCAGGTTTATTTATTTTAACCAACTTTTAAAAATTGAAGTATAGCACTGCTGTGGTCTGAATGTTTGTGTCATCCCAACGTTCAGATGTTAAAACCTAATCCCTAGTGTGACAGTATTAAGAGATGATTATATCATGAGGGTGGAGCCCTTATGAATGGGATTAGTGACCTTATAAAAGAGGCCCAAGGGGGCTCTTTTGCCCCAACCACCATGTGAAGACACAAAGAGAAGGCACTGTCTATGAGGAACGGGCCTTCACCAGACCCCAAATCTGCTGGTGCCTTGATCTTGGACTTCCCAGCATCCAGAACTATGAGAAATAAATTTCTGTTGTTTACAAGCCACGCAGGCTATGGTGTTTGGTTATAGCAGCTCAGATGAACTAAGATGAGCACCAAAAATTGCACGTTACAAGTTTGTGGCTCACTGAGTTTTCACAAAGTACACCCGTATAATGACGTCTAGATCATGACATAGGAAACAGCTTACTCCTTAGAAGTCCTCAGCTCTCCTCCTCCCAACCACAGCTCCCATCCTTTTGGGGAGTTGGAGACAACCCCTGTCCATTACATAGGCCCATTATATAGACCAGAGGTCAGCACACTTTTTGTGTAGAGGGTCAGATAGTAAATGAGGCTTTGCAGACCATACAATCCCTGTCACGATCTTCAACTCAGCTGTTGTAGCACGAAAGCAGCCACATACAGTATGTAAGTGAGCCTGGCTGGGTTCCAATAACCTTTATTTATGCACACTGAAATTTGAATCTTGTATAATGTTCACTGTAATGAAATACTATTCTGGTTTGAATGTAAAAACTTACATTCAAAAACATTCTTAGCTCATGGGCCATATGAAACAGGCACTGGGCTGGATTGGGCTCTAGCTGGCTGACCCCTGATATAGGTGACAAAAGGGAACAGTGAGCAGCTGGGTCAGACAGCTGTTAGTGGCGAGGCTATGCTCTACCCACAGTGCCTCACTGCTCTCTCTGGGTGTCTGAGAGAGGGGCCTGGGACAGACAGGCAGAAGGTAGCATGGCTGATTTTACCACCACTCAGGGAAGGCAGGAACTATTTAAAGCCCCAGAACCTTTTAGAACAGTGTCTAGTCCTGACTTGGTGAAGATGTGGCCATCTTTAGGGCCGTTGTACTACTGGACCAGGTGATATGGGTGGGATTTCTCCCCTCATATTATTTTCAGCAGAATATTTGAAACTGTTTCCTGGAAGATGTGTGATATATTCTGAATAGGTTAGTCTTTCCCCCAGGAAAATGGTCAGTTGCCATTCAGTGTCTAATATAGGTTTGATTTATTTTCCCCTCTTAGAAACGAGAGGTGAACACTGTTTTAGCTGATGTCATCAAGCACATGACTCCAGATCGCGCGTTTGAAGATTCCTACCCTCAGGTAACAGATTTGCGTTTCTCATTTCAACACTGTTAGGTATTTTGTTCTGTTGAATTAAATAGTCGATTGCATGGGTCAGGCCAGAAAGTCAGATAATCCTGTGTTTGAATCTTAGCTCTGCCAGATCCTAGCCATGTGCCCTTTGATCAGTTACTTAACTTTGTTGTGCCTTAGTTTTCTTACCTGTGAAATGGGGATAATAATAGTCCTACCCTCAGAGTTGTTGTGAGGATTTAGTGAGATGTGATAAGGGAAGCCCTGACACAGGTGCTTGGCACATGGTAAATACTGAATAAGCATCGTCATCATCATTGTCACCAGCAAGTAAGGTACCTATGTTTTTCAGTTAAATTGACTTTTTATTTGGAAATAAATTTAAGCTTATTGGAAGGTCGAAAGAATAGCTCCCAGTATTCTTTACTCAGATTCACTAACTTAACATTTTGACACATTTGTTTTACCATTGTTGTTAAATGCATGTGTGTGCACATGTATGCACACATATACATATATATGTCTGTATGTAAATTTTTGTGAATCATTTTAGAATACATTGCATACATCATGCCACATCTTTACTTTTAGAGTATAGTGAGTATTTTCTTTTTTTTTTTTTTTTTTTTTTTTGTCTTTTTCGTGACCCGTAAGGGGATCACAACCCTTGGTGTGGTGTCGCCCACACCACGCTCAGCCAGTGAGCGCACCGGCCATTCCTATAGAGGATCCGAACCCGCGGCGGGAGCGTCGCTGCGCTCGCAGTGCCACACTCTCCCGAGTGCGCCACGGGCTCGGCCCATAGTGAGTATTTTCTAAGAACCAGGACATTCTCCTACATAACCATAGTTCCAGTATCAACTTCAGGGAATCTAACATTAATACAATACTGTTATTTACTCCACAGTCCCTACGCTGGTTTTGTCAGTTGTCTCAGTGTCCTTTATGGCAGGTTTTTTTCCCCCTGCCAGTATAGAATCCAACTCAGGATCACTTAGTATTCCCTTTATCTTGACATAATTACGATTTACTTTTTTATTTAATAACATGATCTTCTGGTACTGCTGCCTGAGATTGATTTTGAACTGCACTTAGTATAATGCAATTACATATTCTTGTAAGAATTTTAATATTTTGCTAATTGAAGAATTTTTCAGCATTTGCTAATTAAAATGGTTCATTATTACAACATATTGAGCAGCCACTGACTCCTGACATTTTTCTGGGTGTGATGAAACATCATATGGCTATGCGTGGTGCCTGGAGCATACTAAATAAATATGATTGAACAAATAAAGTGTGTAGAGGAGATGGGTTATCGTACCCTCGTGGATTGTCAAGATTTCACAGGAAAACTGAAGTGCATTAGAATTTTTGTTGAGGAATTTGCGGAAGATCTTGACTGCTAGGGATCCAGTTAATTGAAAACTTCAAATAGCGTGACTATTTTAAAGCAGTTTGTTCTGAGAGAGGGGAATTTTACTGTAGTATAATTCTGACATATCTAAAAGCAACTTACCAAAGATGCCCGAATTCAGAACAGCCACCCATATCAGCAGTGGGCCCCTTGTGTGAAGAGCAGGCCATGTCAAGAAAAGTAAAACTGCAGGGGTCTATGGAGAACTGGTTTATTCCAGCTCTAAGACAGGGAAGTACAAGATGAGCCTGGGACATTTTTGTGTGTGCCAGAAAGTAAGGAAGTGATCAGAAAACTGATGGCAACATGTAAATAGGATACAGGAGCAGCTTAAAGGGGCTCTCACAGGCTCCCAGTTTGAGCCTCACAAGACATTAGGACAGTAATGGATTATAACCCATTGAATAAAATACGAATCCAGGAATCCATTCTTATGATGAATAGGCAAATAAATAGACAAGGGGAGAGATGGACAGGGGGTGCCAACTGAGCAATGTGGAAGAAATGGTAGAGTTGGAAATTCACTATTTTGCAACCATCGTGGTAAAGACAGGAATCGTTAACCTTCAGTGCATGCTAGACCTGAGGGGAGCAGTTTGAAAAGCAGCCAGATATTTGCATATCTCAAAGGGTCTTTTCATAGTGAGTATTAATTGCAAGGGGGAAAATAGTGACCATACTGCACAGAAATTGAACAGTTCTTGACCAACTAGTTAACATTCATATCATCAATGAGAAGCAGATGGCCATCATGCACCTGTGGATGTGCTACCCTGAGATAGACACAGTATCACCTATGTAGCATTCCAGTCTAGAATGCATAAGCTGAATCTAATCATGACGGAGCATCAGACATACCCAAATTGAAGAGCATTCTATAATTCTTCAAAAATATTGCCCTGAATGGCAAAGACAGGCTGAGGAAGTGTTCCGAAATAATACAGACCACAGAGACATGAAAAGGAAATGATGTTCACAATCCCAGACCAGATACTGCAGAGAAGGGAGGAAAAATAATGCCGTAAAGGACTCATTGAGATAATTGGCAAGATTGGAATATGGATGATAGATTAAAGTATTTTGATTATATCGGTGTTAACTTTCCAGGATTCGCTAACAGCAAAGGGAAAATGTCAGAGAGTATGATATTCTCAGGATGCAAAATAAGGTACTAAGGGGAGAGGGACATGATTCATGCAATCTACTTTCATATGGTTCAGGAAGAAAATAGTATGTCTTACACAGAGAGAACAATAAAGCACATTTGGCAAAATATTAAACTGGTGGTTTTGGGTAAAGAATGTATGGGAATTCTTTGTATTATTTTTGTAGCATTTTTGTAAGTTGGAAATTATTTCAAAATGAAAAGTTAAAAAATGTTCATGGAGAGCATGTTTACAAATTCTAGCATTAGATGGATGGATAGGTGAGGAGATACAGCAAATGTTATCTTTTGTGGAATCAGGTGATGAATAAATTAGTGTTTGTTGTATAATTCTTTCAATTTTCTTTGTTTGAGCACTTTCATAATGAAATGTTGAAGGATGAATCACAGTTAAAAAATGTTACTTTATTATTTTTTTTTAAAAATCTTGTTCTAAAGGTATTACTTGCTTTGTGTTTCCAAAACTATTTTACATTTTAACCAGACAATATTGCAGTATCTTATAATGCTGTGCCTTGGAACATTGTTGATGATGAAGTTTAGAAGTCCTTTATTAGTCTTTTGCTTGACTGACCTAGTAAACTTTTTAATTACGAAATGGACTTATAATACATCTTCATATTCTATGTCTTTAGAAAATGAGAGATTTTCTTTGCACATAATTTAAACAGCAATTTTTTAGTGTAAATAAAGTATTTGTCAGTAAATTTTCTTCATAGCAACTGGGGCAGGGAGTTATATTTTATTGAGAAACAGTATCTCCTTGGTTCTCCTGGACCAAGTCCCTGTCGTCCTTTTGATCAAGACTGTGTGCATCTTGTGTGGGGTGCAGTGAACATCAGTACGTAGGCATTTCTGAAGCAGACTTCATATATGGTGCCACCAGCCTTGGGAACACTGTGGCCTTTGACATCACTGGCAAACTTGGTCCAATTCCTATCTACTGAAGTAGTCAAGAAATACAAGGCCATGATGGACTAGAAAAGGGGTCAGCAAACTATAGCCTATAGGCTGTATGTGGCCTACCAACAGTTTTTGTGAATAAAGTTTTATTGGCACACAGCCATGCCCATTCTTTTTTACATGTTGTCTATGGCTGCTTTTGTGCTACAGTAGCAGTGTTGATAGTGATTGAATGTAGGCCCTTTATATATAAGCTTGCCCACTCCTCAAATAATAACAATAGCTGATGTTAATGGAGAGCTTTCTAAGGGCGTGGGATGTTCTGAGCACTTTACATGAACCTCCCATTTAACCCACACAGGTATTGCTTTGATCTCCGTTTGACAGATGAGAAAGCTGAGGCCAAGGCAAAGTTGCTTCCGCAAGACTGCAGAGTAGGATGTACAGAGGAAGACAGGCAAACTCAGCCCGAGACAGGGCCTAACCTAACCTTAATTCCCATTCTTTGAACAATCTAGGCATACCTTTTTGTAATTGTAATTGCAAGTTATGAAAGATAGCTGCTTTCTAAGAAAATATCCAAGTTGTATTAAATAAGATGTGTTTTTTTGTTTTGTTTCGCAGCTTCAGTTAATCATTAAGAAAGTTATCAACCACTTCCATGATTTCTCAGTTCTTTTCTCAGTGGTAAGTAACATTTCTTAATTATCTTTGGAAATTTTTATCTGGGTCAGAGATTCTCTTAATGTCTCAGTAATGTTTTCGTAGCGCCCCAGGCAAAAAGAAATACTCAACAGTTTCTTTCATAAAGTTGTTAGGTCTAATCAACTTAATAAGTATTTATGTCCTAACAACTTAAACATCCTTTGAAAAAATAATATACATAAACTGGAAGAAAACTATCATTTCTGTTTTATTTGTTACTTGCTAATGAGATGTGTGCACCTGTTGGGTGCTACACAACTTGTCAAACCTTGAAACCACATTGGACATCCTCATCTTCATTTCCTCTTCCACAATGGCTCTCACATGGGACTTGCTTTTTATCACGCAATCTAATGTTGAAACTGCAATATATCAAGCTAGTAGTTGTTTTAGTGTCTGACAGTGTTGAGATTTACTGTTTCCCTCCAAAATTTAAAATATTCTACAACGTCTCTTGAGTTTGCCACAGTGCCCTGGGCAAGTAGGAATCTAGGCGATTCTCTGATTAGTAACTTTCTCTGTCCCTTCCCTTAGTGTTCTTCTTCGAGGTTCCAAGTTTTTTGTTTATTTTTAAATAATAGAAGTTGGGCTGGCTGGTTAGCTTGGTTAGAGTGCAGTTTTATAACACCAAGGTGAAGGGTTCGGATCCCCTTACTGGCCAGCCACCAAAATGAATGAATGAACAATGAATAAATAAATAAATCTAATACTTATTGGATGTACACCAAACGCCAAGCATTGTGCTGAAACCCACAAATTCCTTCTAGTAACTTAAATTATATGTAGAGTGTTTTCTTTATTTTTTAGGAAAAATTCCTGCCGTTTTTGGACATGTTCCAAAAAGAGAGCGTGCGGGTAGAGGTTTGCAAATGCATCATGGAAGCCTTTATCAAGTGAGTGCAACACGGGGTAATGGAGGCTTTATTCCTAGTGCCCTTGTGCAACCTTGTGATGAGAAATCAGTTCACATGCTCCGAGGCCTAATAATGTGTATGTATTTCATACTAGAAGCAACATTAGAAAGAAAGCCACGTCAAGAGCAGCAGTCATGATAAAAGTTGGTAATTAGTGCTTGAGAAGACAAACTAGAAAGTATTATAGCATGGGCCTGGCCAGCAGGTACATTTTACTTAGATATGTTTTTGGAAGGAGCAGTGTTTTGATGAACTGCCTTGAGAGTAAAATATGAAAGGATAAAATTAAAGGCACACTTATATGAAGGTACCAGTACTGGAAAGCTTTTCATCCTCATTGTTACTAATTTGTGATCAGTTTTCAAATTTAGTTTCTTTAATTTTGTTAAGTCTATGTTTGCACAAACTGCCTACTGCTGGAATACGTAAAATAATTTTAAGAGAGTGCATGGAAGAAAGGTTTTTACTTTAAAAGTTATGTATTGATTTTAAACTTACTGGACAGAATGTAACTCATTTATTTAATCAGTGATTTCAGGTATGTTATTTTTTATGAACAGGTTAAATTAAAAAAGTTAAAGTTATTTAAAATATTAAGTATGTAGATATGGTTCAGTTTGGAAAATTGAGTTTTATGTTGCTCTAATATGTTTTAAGCTTTTCTCATTATCTTTTTAAAAGATTAATTCCTTACTAAATAATAAAAGTAGTTAATTCATAATTGACATGCTTGGAACAAATATACCTACTTTACTTACATGGAGATTTGTTATGAGTTTGTCCTTCAGATTGTTTGGAGAACCAAATTAATAATTTTGCCTGGCACTTAACACAATTTCATACAGGTAGTATACAACTTCAGAAGGTGTAAGAAACATAGTAAGAAAACAGGTTTGCCCTTTGCATGGCTTGGGAAGAGTAGCAGTTTCACTGTGATTTTGCGGTTAGGAGAAGTTATGATATGTGTGGAAGAACAAATTTGTTAATTAAAGAAGAATTAAGAGAAAACCAGAACATTGCCCATTGCTGGTAAACTGGGCCGTGTGAAATGCCTGCCAGATAATTTGCTGTTTCTCAAAATATATACAGTAGGTAAGAACTAAATCCGTGTTCTCATTGCTGTCAGTGGACAGAACTTTTACCACTGTCTTTAAATGTCTCCTAGGCATCAGCAGGAGCCCACCAAGGACCCCGTCATCCTGAATGCCCTTTTGCATGTTTGCAAGACCATGCATGACTCTGTGAAGTAAGACATGCCTGAAGATGAAACATAACATAGGTTGGGTCTTAATACCACAGTAACAGAACATTAGGGATTGACTGCTCTAAACTGTCACTGTGAATGATATTACTTCACTGAGTCTATTAAGATTCTTGCTAATGAGGACATTGCAGGCCAGGAGAGGAGGGATGCTGAGGGGTAACCTTCTTGAGAAAATGAGATGGCAGATGTTTTGACAAAAAGATTTCTGTTGGGGAAAAAAGGCTGATTTCATCCAAGTAAACTCAAACTCCATGTCTCCTGGAGATTTCTGCCAGCAGCAGGTAGTATAATAATGAACTCGCTCATCCAGTAACATAGCCTTTTCATTTTATCTCATCATTAGCTAATTATTTGAAATTGAAATGAAATTACTTATGTTTCTTACAAGAAGGAGGCTCAGACCTATCCACAGACCTTACCTTTTTGTTAAAGGCTCCGTTATTACTCCTTTGCTTTCTAGTTTTTAGTTTTTTGGTTTTTTAAGCATATTTCCATTTGACTGTGCTTAAGATAGTTCCTGCTTATTTGTTGCTGAACTTTTAGTCCCCAAAGAATTTTTAAACACAGCAGCTTGATTTACTGGGAAACATTACAAGAATTGAGAAAATTGTTTTGGAACTTAACCATCAAGATGAATTGTATTTCTTTTCTTTTTTTCTCTTTCCTTACTTTTGGAATCTTTCTTTATTTCCATGACTCTTTGTGCTTTCAACTTTATGGGTAGTTATAAAAATCAAAATATCAAGACTTTTTTATAATAAATTAAACCAGCAGAATTTAGTTGGACAAAAATAGAAATAAAGTCACAGCAAACATCCAGAAAGGCACTTATATTCGTTGGATATTGGTTTGGGGCTTAAGTCAAATAGAAGGCTTATTTCTCATTTACTAAAAGTGTGACTAGGTAGAGAGACTAGAAGGTGGGGTAGGGAACCCCTTCTTTTGAACATCATCCAGGATGCAGGTTTCTTCTGCTCTGTATTCCTTTGGGGTGTTGTCCTTGTCTCTCTGCTAGAAGCTGGCCTACCTCGACCATGTCCACGTTCCAGCCTGTGGACATTGGAGGACAGCAGCTTTCTTTTAGGGACAAACTTAGAAGGCTCACACATCACTCACAGTTATATCCCATTGTCCAGGACACATCCCATTGGCCATACCTAGCTCTGAAGGAGGCTGGGGAATGTCTTAAAGAACAAAGGGGACATTGCATATTACAAGACAGTATGCAATCTTTGCCAAAACTTATTTTTCCCTAGAACAAATCAACAAACAAAAACTTTGATTCCTGTTTTCTCTGGTCTCTTAAATTAAAACAATAAATAAATTTGGGGAACTATTTGTAGGCTTTCACATGTATATCAAAACTATAAAGACTTGACATTTTCTTATTTATATTTACATTGAATTTTCTATTAAATAGAAGCAACTGAGATGGTGATTTGCTTTAAAATGCATCCAAAAACTGAGGTGGATGGATGGATGGAGAGGGGAGTGGATAGTTATGTTATAAAACAAATTTTGTAAAATAGTAATGGTAGGATCTCGATGGTGGGTGTATGAGTGTTCACTGGAAAGTTCTTTCAACTTGGCTGTATGTTGGAAGCTTTTTATAATAATGTGTTGAACAAAACTCTGAAATACAAAATTTGGTATTAGACCATGCTGCCTAAAATCCAAAGAAGAGAAAGCTACCTTCTGTTTTCCTGTTAATCATGACAATAGCATCTTTGAAGGAGATGAGAAACACATTTAAATTATGTCGATTTTGTGTATATATTTTTATCAAAAGAAAAATATACAGCCTACAGGGAGATTTTTAAGTCTAGAAAATGCAAAATGTTCTTAACTGTTAAACTGCTGTATTTTTTCTTTTAGAGACTTTCATTTATTACCTCTGTTAATTATGTACGATCATTGATTTTAGTGCACTCACTCTTGAGGATGAGAAAAGAATGCTGGCATATTTGATTAATGGATTTATAAAAATGGTAAGTATTGGGGAAGAAGTTTCAGTGCACTTGGAAGTGTGATGTAATTGTTTGTCCTTATTCCAGTGAGAGCAGTTACTGTTATGTTCCCTGGTGCTTTTCATTTTTATTGAGATAAGATGAAATTAGAAAACATCTTACATTAGCCAGGGGGGGGGGGGGGGGGGGGGGGGGGGGGGGGGGGGGGGGGGGGGGGGGGGGGGGGGGGGGGGGGGGGGGGGGGGGGGGGGGGGGGGGGGGGGGGGGGGGGGGGGGGGGGGGGGGGGGGGGGGGGGGGGGGGGGGGGGGGGGGGGGGGGGGGGGGGGGGGGGGGGGGGGGGGGGGGGGGGGGGGGGGGGGGGGGGGGGGGGGGGGGGGGGGGGGGGGGGGGGGGGGGGGGGGGGGGGGGGGGGGGGGGGGGGGGGGGGGGGGGGGGGGGGGGGGGGGGGGGGGGGGGGGGGGGGGGGGGGGGGGGGGGGGGGGGGGATGGAGGAGGAGATCTATTGGCTCATGTGACACAAAGTCCAGAGACGGGACTCTCTGAAGGTCTTCGTGATGTCAGGACCTGCCATTGGTGTCTGTCTTGGGCTTGCACTCTGCTCTGTTGACTTCCTTCCGAGACAGACTTGCTCCCCACCAGAGCTGCAGCTTGACATTCCCAGCTCTGCAGCCCAGCAGGAGGGACTCCAGCAAAAGTCTTGGGATTGAGTCTCTTTGGTTGAACTTGGGGCATGGGCCCAAATATACCCACTGGCCAGACCTGGGAGATATGCACACCTGGGTGACCCTAATCATGTGGACTGAGAGTGGAGGTGAAAACTTTGCTGGGTGGGCAAAAGGCCAGATGACCACTCTCCATCTGTTTTAGTTCTCTGTCACTGGGTTATTGCTGCATAACAACTCACCCCAAAACATGCTAGCTTAAGTGTTTTATTAGTTCTTACAATGCTGTGAGTTGGCTGGGTAAGCCAGGCTGCCCATGTGGTGTTGACTGGTATGGCAAGATTGGACTGGAGGATCCAGGATGGCCTGCCTCTCAAGTCTAGGGCCTTGGCCTCTGCTGTTGGCTAGGGCATCTCAGTTTCCTTACACATGGCCTGCTTCTCTGCACTGTCCTCTCTTCATTTGGGAGTCTCAGTTGAGGTCTCTTACATAGTGCTGGCATCCCTGAGGGCACAGACAAAAAGCTGCAAAGCCTTTTAATTTTAAGGCTGTGGCTTGGAAATCAAGCAGTGACCCTCAGGTCATTCTGCTGCATTCTATTGGTCAGAGCAATTCACAGGGCCAGCTTGTGGAGGGGAGGGGAAGAGCCCCTGCCTCTTGATGGGAAAAGTCCAAAGGGACATTGCAAAAGGATAAGCAGAGTGGGAGGGATTACTGCAGCCTTCTTCAGAAACATCCAAACATTACACCATCCCAGGCCAAACAATCTTTGCCTTAATTTTCACCAACTGCTCCCAGCATCTTCTGTTTTAGTAGAAATGTCAGGACCAAAACTGCCTAAGCTGAGAATGACGAGATCACTTTGAAAATAACCTTGAAAATGTGACTTGTTCAACAACGAGGGTTGATTGAACTGTCCACCTGACTCTGTGGGTCAAATATCAATTTTGATGAAAATTTAGGATTAGCCTTTTGATTCCCATGTTAGAAAATGGACCTATGGATTTTACTGGGTGACTCTCCTTTGCCCTTGGTTTATGTACTGATCATGTAGTATTTATCCTTTTATGGCTTTTCCTGAAAGTCACCGAATTATAATGGAAAAGAATATGAGGAAATAAGATGCGAAACCTGATAGCTATAATGGAAATAGCAAAGTTAAACCTCCTTTGGACAAAAATGATTGATATAGCCATAAAGTTTCTCCTACTTACCAGCTGTTCATAAATTTGAAGAAATAGGAGAAGTGGGGATTTTTAATGGTGGAGAAACTTCCTTCCCTGGCTCCAGCAGCCACCAGGAAGCTGCTGAGGTTGGATCCCCATCCGGATGCAGAAAGGTTTGGCTCTTATTAGGGAAAGCCCCCTGACAAAGACTCCCAATAACCAAGTTTATGTTCCATGAAAAGGCCGCAGCTGGCAAACAAAATTCCATCATTCCGTTTCCAGTGGTTTCCTTCTAAGCATGGAAAAGCCTACTTACATTTTGAGCTTCTGTTTTTTATTCTTGGGCTTTTTATGTTCTAGTCCAATGCCCATGTCATAAAGGTGAGATGGTAATAGTAATATTTCAGTTATACGCTAGTTGAGATCAAGCCTTTCTAGTTAGAGTATATTCCAGTGTGTGTCATCTGCATGTTTGCTTGTGTCCCTCTAAAGATAACATTGTCCCTTTCAGCATCTTTCTCCTTGATTCTAGGTTTCCTTTGGCCGTGATTTTGAACAGCAGCTAAGTTTTTATGTTGAGTCCAGGTCGATGTTTTGCAATCTGGAACCTGTTCTCGTTCAGTTGATTCATGTAAGGATTTTCACTCGTTTGTTCTCTCAGTAAATCTATATTGACCATCTATATGCCACCCAATCTTAATCTGGGATTCTTCTGGCCCATATTGCTGTTCTCTAGGGTACAAGAGGGTGTTTCTCAAAGGTTAATAAAATCTACAACATTGCTTAAGTCTTTGGATGGTTTTATTGACCTTTTTTCCCCCTTAAATTTGCATATTCTCATTTCTGCCTGGCAACAGCAAAGAGTTAAGTGATTTACACTGATTAATTATAGAAATACTAACCTGGAGTCTCTTGTTGCCTAACCAGAGGTTCTCAATTTTCTTCAGTCATGGCATCTCTCTTTTCATGGTGCCCCCAGACCAGAAGAAACAGTAAAGTTCTATTAAGAAGTTGGTTTAGATAACTTTAGTTATTATGCCCTAAAAACTAGATAGTCACTTAAAAAATAATGTACATAAATCAAAAGAAAAATATTATTTTTATTTCATTCTCCAATAACCATAATCACTGATGAGGTATGTGTACCTATTGAGCACTGCATAACTTCTCAAGCCTTGGAAACAGATTGGACACTGCTACCCTTATTTCCTGTTTTCCATTGATTTTTTTTTTTCTACTTTTTTTTTTTGGCTGGCTGGTATAGGGATCTGAACCCTTGACCTTGGTGGTATAACACCAGGCTCTAATCAACTGAGCTAACCAGCCAGCCCCCTCTTCACATTGCTTTTCACACAGTACTTGCTATTTATCATAGCAGCCACCAAAACCCAACTTTCACAAAGGTGTGATGTGGCCACAAGGGATGTAATGCAGCCCAGTGTCACATCTGTGAGCAACTTCACACCAGTGCTTTGCACAGTGTTCAACAATTGGGTATTGCTGTGTTTCCCTAAAATATGTGATGAGTTTGCTGCAGCACCCTGGGGAACCGTGGTACACAGTTTGGGAACCATAGGTTCAAACTTTCCTTATCTTTGAAAAGGTTCACTAAGGCTCTTTAATTGCTTCATGTCTTTTCAAGGAGAACAGCCTTTTAATGAATCATTTGCTGGTTAGCAGGTTACTTAGCACAACCAAGCTTAAGACCTAAATGTAGAATACCTCATCTGTACAATCAGGGGGGGTACTGATACCCACCTCACAGGGTTGTAAGGATTAAATGACTTAATGAATGTGAAGCTCTTAGAATAGCACCTGGTACACTGTAAGTGATGATGTGGCCACTGTTACTGCTGTTTTTACTGTTAGTATTGCATAGCTAAATTGTATGGTCTGCTCTCAGATTTGGAGGTTTGTCTTAAGATCTCTAAGATCTTAAACTTAGAGTGTGGGATTTCTGGAAATGTATTAAGTGAACCCTGGCTATTCATTAATCCCTGGTCATTTATAATGCTGATTGATAGGCATGACTAACTTAGCAAGTGCCTTTTGTTCTACCTTGTTGGAGATGTTTGTTCATGCCAAGACTGAATCGGGCCTGATGACCCCTTTGGCATTGCCGATTTCAGTGCTAGCCGGTCATGGTTCCAGTTAGCTTGTTCTCATTGACTTGTGTGTTGTTAACATTCAAATCTCTATGGAAGATGTTAATCTGAACCACCCGTCATTTCACTTCCATTTCTATTTTATTTATACAAATCCAGAGTGTGAACCGGTTGGCAATGGAAACAAGAAAAGTAATGAAAGGAAATCATTCCAGAAAGACAGCTGCATTTGTTCGGGTATGTTCTAAAGATAAGGACTCAGATTTTGAACTCCAGTGGGTTGTTTAGTTTGCAGGTTACTAAATTGCTATTCCAGAAAAAGACAAGTGTGTCATCGTAAGGTTGGTTTAGTATTGACTTTTCACATTAATTTTTCCCTGGGATAATCAATTTTCTTAATGTTTTCAAAAGAAGCAATCATGGCCAGCCACCAAAAAACAAAAAAAGAAAAGATCAGAGGAGTCTGAATTTTAATATATGTTTTGGGGAACTGGTCAAGAGATGGATTTGTATTTTTGTCTGCCAGCTGAATGACCTCTAATTTTCTCTAACATAATAATATGTTGTTATAATATGAAATATTTATCTAATATAATAATAATATAATATTACATAAAATAATATTTTGCCTGTAACTGGAAAGTTTGGTATCTTTTTTTTCCTCTTACAAGAGTTATGCTCAAGTTCGAAAAAAATTTTCAGCTTCTTGAGTCTGCAGCTCAAAATTTAAATGAACCAATACTTGTCTATGTCTTTAAAACTGAAATCAGACTGAAACTGTTACAACAGATACTAAGCCTCCTGGCCCTGCCTTTTCTCACCTCTTGAATCTTTTTAGCAGCATTATTTCCTGACTACTTCCATATTCTTAAGTCATTGGTTTAAGTGGCTGCTGCTCTTTTTATCAATATTGGGTGTTATCAATTTATGTCACATGATGATGAATGAGGTTGTATATTTCATATGCCATCGTGCCCCTCCCCTCCCCATCCTCCCAAAGAGTTGTCAGTTATAAGAGAGTTGAGAGGGGAACATTGGGGCCCAAAATGGGGGGACTAGTTGTTGAAGTGTTTTTACTTGGAAGTACATGATGGGACAAAACAGGAGCATTAATCTGCGAAGATGGCCTTGCCAACCTCACGGGCTGCGGTCCTCCCCTTCTTTCTAGGCCTGCGTTGCCTACTGCTTCATCACCATTCCCTCCCTGACAGGGATCTTCACACGGCTCAACCTCTACCTGCATTCTGGCCAGGTTGCCTTGGCCAACCAGTGCCTCTCCCAAGGTAAGGCCACCATTCTCCCATCTCAGGCACTCCCTTGCTGCTTAGGAAAGCTGACTCAGCCATGTGTGTGTGCATGTGTGTGTGTGTGCGCGCGCGCGTATGTGTAGAGAGAGAGCGATTCCTTTAAGGAGAAAAGAGAAAAAATGGTCAATAAATGATGAGTTTTCAATCTGTTGCTCTCGTAGGAAGCGCACCAGACACACACACGTTTACAGAGTCAGACAGACTATAGAGCGTAGATATCTTCCTGTAAGAACCTTCTTAAATCTCAGGCTGGGTCAGGCAGCTCAGACATCCTGGGCTAAGTATGCATACAGAATTTGAGAAGTTAGGACTACTTAGCCATAGCAGATTCATGTTTATTTTTTGTTTTTGTTGATATTTGTGTGTTTGAAACCCCAGGGACACACTAGTAGATTCTAATCTGTGTAGAATGAATACCCAACAGCTTGCTGTTATGGATGAAAAGTCTGCTCAAGATGAATTTTTCTGTGCTAGGCACGCATGGAAGCCGACACTGAAGCCAGGATGCACGGGGGTAATTTATTTGGGTGGAGGAGATCCCAGCGAGTATCAGAAGGGTGGTGGGAGGTGAGACGGGAAGATAAGTAAAAGTGCACTTGCAAGCAGGTTACTGCTGTAGGCAGCTGAGCTTCAGTCCCACTTGGGAGATGGTGTCAAATACACCTCAGTGTGACTCCACCTGAGGGGGGAGGAAGACCGGTATTTACCCTTCACTCTCATCTGTCATCGGCTGAGTGCTGCTTCTGGAACATTAATTCCCTGGCACTCTGGCCTGCTGCACACTTGAGCCATGAGAATGCCCTCAAGCGGGGAGTCTCGAGTGTTTGCCGCAGTACACCCTGGTCACCAACTGCAGCGGTTTGCGTCAAGGGCGGGCGGGCGGGCAGAGCCCCAGCAGGTTGGTGGCCAGGGATTCATCCAGCAGGCCATAACACAAAGCATCAAAGAAATCTTGGTGCGCCATTTATGGAGCATTTGTTATGCGGCCTGCAGTGTCTGATTCCATCCTCCTAACAGCCACATGAGGCCAGTCCTGTGGTTGGGGCCTCATAGCCCAGATGAGAAACGGAGGCAGGGAGTGGCCAAGTAGCTTGCCTGAGTATGTCCACTCGTGAGTCACTGAGCCAACATTCAGTTCCTGATCTGCCTAACACAAGGTCACCATTAAGTAGACTGGGTGTCTTCAGTGCGAACAATCGGGAGGCTTGCATGAATATCAGGGCACCATATGAGGTAGACTGATGTTTTCAGTGGTGATTCTCCCCTGCCCCAACCTCGCAGATTATGCTGGAGCAGCGCTTTTCTACTTGCTGCTGTTGGCTCAGGAAGGTATTCTGGGCCAATTTGGAGAGTGGTCACTCACTCCCCTGTTCTTTTGACCCTTAGCATGGTGGTTCTGGTGGTCATCTGTATCTGGATTCAACTGGGGCCGCTCTGGGCACAGAAGTCTTCAAACGTGGTTGCTGTACATATTTTCATCCCTTTTAAACTCTGCTTGGTTTTGCTTTCTGCTCCTGGAGCACTCCTGTAGTTTCCCAGCAGCGTATTTGAAGTTAAACTAAACACCTTGCCTCTGAGTCCCCACGGGACCCTGCTGCCTTCTGTCCCCATCTCCCACCATGCTTAAGCCATACAGGCTTTTTTCTGTTCTTGGAACATATTAAGCTGTCTCCCAATTCAGTCTTTGCACTTACTGTTCCCTCTTTCTAGAATGATCTTTCCCTAGATATTTGCTTTTTTCTTTGAATTACAAAGCAGGTGGTGAGAATCAAGCCAGAGCTTCTTAGGGAGGCCACTTCTGACCACTCTAGCTAAAGTGGCCACCCTTCCTCAGTCTATCTCATTCTGTGCCGTCGTCCTCATTGTCATCATTGTGCATACCACAAGCTGACATTTTCTTACTGTGCCTCCTTGTTTACTTGTTTGAGACATCCCCTGTCCCCACTAAAATAGGCACCAGTCCTCATTGTGTGTTGGTAAATGCGGAACTTTTTCCCAGTGCCTGCTTTGGTAAGAATGATGGGTTAGCAAGAAACAAAAAAAAACAAAAATGAAAACAGCCACCACCAAAAATCCGATGACATGCAAAATGAAAATTAGAAGACACTTTCTTGGATGTTAGAAATTTTAAATCTTTTTATAAACTTGTTCCCTTTCAGAAAGCTCCAGAATAGTAGACCCAGGTGGGAACACCTGAGTTTGGTTTCAACTGAAGCATTAGGAACAGATTGTGAGCTGCAGATACCAGAGCTGTGGACTGCGAGTGGAGGCTCTGAAGCCTAGATCGCTCTTCTTCCAGCTTTATAAAATCAGGACCATGATTTTGACTGTTGTAGATCTTATGACTGGATCTTCTATATAGCTTCATGCCATTTGTTAAAAAAAAAAAAAAAAGTAACAAAATAAAGGCTCCCCCCTCAACAAAGATTTGCTGCTCTCAGGAGCTTTTGGAGGAGATCTGTGAATGATTTTCTCCCTCTTGGGCTGCCCCAAAATGCCCTGGGTCTGCACCAAGGGACAAGCAGTGTAATGACAGCCCCAAATACTGTGCACAGATCAAGACGGTGCCCTTATTGTCAGAAGAGAGTTCCTCGTCAGCTTCACCCCTCACTTTAAGCTACTGCGGGGGAGCAGGAGTGTGGTATCCACTTCAAGTTTAATAATTTATCTGATGATTTTTGCTCGAGTCTCTAAATGCTGTGGCACTAAACCTTAAAAGCCTATTATTGTTCTTCTGAAAGCCACACGCAGCAGTTGCTGGCCAAAATAAATAATGCATTCAATTACTGAGAATGGGAAGGCTAAATATAAATTAAATGAAGCTTATGGAAATGGGCTGCTCTTGTCTGCCTCCCTAGACATTCTCCCTTTTCAATTGGTTATAAAATATCCCCCTGCCCCCAATTCATTTTCTTGCCTGTCTCAATCCAGCTTTGACTGTATCTTCTTTACCAGGCTGTGGCTTTGCCAGGGCTCAATACAGCCAAAATCAACTCCTGTTGAACCCTCAGTCAGGCCAGTGCAGGACGCTGACAAAGGCTTATTACAGGGGAGGCCCAGTTCTGTTCTTCTGTACACCCTGCTGCTGTATGTAGCATGGATCGTGCAGGGATTTGGCATTAATACTCTTGCCCCTCGCCCCAGAGTATTTAGGAGAAACAAAGGACTTGCAAATCAGGTGTTTGGCCGTACACTTCTCATGTGATCAAGAGGTGTCCCCAAAATGCCTGTTTATCTTTTCTTTCAGCTCCTTCACTAGATAACTTCTCACCCTTGTTTGTCAGTAGCTCTTTCTGGAAGGTTATTACCAAGCTACAGCAAGAGCAAATTCTTTTGCCCTTTATTTTTACCTTGGTTCTTTTATCTTCACAGTTTCTTATCTTAAAAAGGGGAGTATTTTACAATAGATGGAATATTTAAGGTGGGTCTTAAAAGAGGAACATATGTTTATGGGAAGGCAGAAGGAAGGAACAGTCGGAATTCCAGGTGGAGTCAGTGGCCTGAGTGGAGGTGTGGAGATGCAGAACGACATGATACATTTGGCTGAGAGCAGGATGTTGAGTTGAGGCCCTGATTGATGGTGACTTTCAAGTCCTCCAACTGCAGTGGTCACAATCCTGAATCTACCACTTACAAGTTGAATACCTTGGACAAATCAGCCTTTCTGTGCCTCAGTTTTCCCATGTGTACAGTGGAGACGATAATAGTGGTCCCTATCTGTTGAGGATTAAATGTTATAATGGCCTTAGAGCACTTGTCCCACTGGCACACAGACACTGGTCAGTGAGCTCTATCTTAGTATAATATCTCTCAAGTAATGAAAGTATGCCATGGGGTTTGAGGAGCTAACTATATACATTGGCAGCTCTATAGTTTCAGAGTTTTGAAAGCCAACTTATTTCTCATATGCAGAACTTTGAGGTATCTATGGGAAAGCTAATCTTCATTTCAAGATTAAACTGCTAAATGACATTGGAAATAAATGATCTGCAGTTCCTCCAAAGCTAAAACAGAATAGAGAGAAAAATCAAAAGAGTGGTAAAAAGAAGGACTTTTGTTATTATCATTAATATTAATGCTGTCCCCTCCTTCTACAGAGTTCGCTCTCGTTCTTTTAAATCTCACTTCCTTTTATTTATTTTTTGCATCTTCATCCTTCAGAGCTTAGCTCACAGGCCATGTCTTTAGGAAAACCATCCTTGCCCTCCTCAGCCCACCAGACAGACAGAAAGTCAGGCCAGGTTATCCCGTAAGATGTATCGTCCTTACACCCTGTGCTTTTCCTTCATTGTACTTGTCACCATTGTTATTTAACAAGTAAATGTGCAAGTAATTGTCCGCTTTTCCCTCAGGAGAGTGTCAGCTCCAGGAGGTCTTACTCGTTTGGCTCACTGTGGTGTCCCTGGCTGCTGGCACATTACCTACCACATGGGTGCCCAGTAAATGTTGAATGAGTGAATGGTGACCATATGATAATGTTTAATAATTCTTAATAATATTGAGAAAAGTGACATGGTAACAAATCTTTCACAGTGTGGACAGCAGCTAAGCAACAGCTACTATTCAGAAGAGAGTCCCATCCAAGCCTTTGTAGTAGGTTTAAATAATTCATTTTTATATTTATAGAAAAAAGAAAACAAATTGGGTTCAAACATATGCTCAGGCTCATAGGCACATGGAATGAAGCTGTGGTGCTGGTCTGGTCATGAGGAACATGGGGAAACTCAGAATGATTGCTCAAAGTCCTGCTCTTAGGAAGACACTGGATACCGCCAACTGGAACGGCTGATGGAAGTAGCCAGGCAGTAGTGTGAAAGAGAAAAACAGTCTTGTGTCTCCTCTCCCTGGACAGTGAGGAGTGGCTTGTGAAGGAGAAAAATGGTTTCCATCCACTTACCCAGTCTTTGGGGTTTATGTTTAAGGTCATATCTACTAGTTCTGTTAACAGAGAACGTCCTCTGAAGAATATATTTTTT